GTGTGGTGCGCGCTACTTATAAGTAGTAGTATATGACGCGAGTGAAAACGTAATGTCTGGCAACAGAAGATGGGGGAAGATCAAGAAAGGAAGAGTGGGAACACAATGCGATTTGTATGAAACGCATGAATAGTGAAATGTCAGACAATGGATTGATGATGGATTGAAGATTTGCAAATTAACCGTTTACGATATGGTTTTCCGATTTTACTGATTAACTCTGTAATTTGCGATAAACAGAATTCGGTTGCCCTCACCTGTGTTCTCCTTCACTACAATAGTAGTAAATGTAGTAGACGTGTTAGCAGTAATCGGAGAAGATTAGGGTTCGATGATATTATTCGAGAAGTATAATTTAGTGAATGGAACTTAAAAAGACAAAGATAAAGGTGATGAAAAATTAGGAAGACTAGAATTTGCTAGAACTCAAGGAATGGATGGATGCACTTGCACTGTTGCAAAACGATCTTGATCCATGTCATTCAAAGTGTCTAATCATCAGTCACTATAGTGTCGTGGACCTCAATCAAGTAGTCTACACCTACCAACATGACTCAGTCTAGTTGTCAGTGACTTCATGGATTTGTGTCATGTTTTCGTTTGACCGCCCCAAACTCTCTCCTAACCTACTCCTACACCATAAAACATAGCCCGTCGATACTGAAACTTCATCAGTTGAGTTAGTTGAGACATGTGCTGCGTATGCCTAACCACCGACTGACTCAACGAGCTATGTTTTGTAGTGTAGGAATAGGTTAGAAGAAAGCTAGGGGCGGCCAAACCAAAACATGGCAGAAATCCATGAAATCATTGACGAGTGGACTGAGTCATGTAGGTAGTTGTTGACTACCTGGTTGGGGTCCGCGAGATGATAATAATCGATGGTTAGATACCCTGAATGACATGTCTCAAAACCGTTTGCAATGGCGCCGGTGCATTTATTCTTTATGTTCTCTCAAATCCTAATCTTCTGGATTCTTCAACACCTCTAGTTTTGACTTTCTAAACTTTTCTCACTGAATGATATTTCTTGAATATCTTCTAATTCTAACCTCTCTGATTACTTCTAATACCTTTGCTACCTCTTCTACTATTGGATTTGAATTGACAATTACATCTCTCTGTGCTGATGTAGTATGGCAACATGAACTGATGTACTTACGTACAAAGTTCCACGTTGCATCTGACTGACTGGCGTCGATGCAGCCGGCGATTGGACAAACGTAACACAAATCTCAACTACATCAACTGATGGTAGGTTCACTACTTCATCACTAATCGATTTAACATCCTTACCTAGTATCCGTTTCGTCGTAAGTCATGATGGCATTGCTTCCTAGTTGGTTACAGAATATTTAAGCAATACTTCAAAGACACTTTAGATCAGATAGCAATAACCTACAAAATAGATACTTTAGGCAATATCTACATCATCCATCAGCCTACAACATATTCTCAACTGTGTAAAATGATTCTTCTATCCTTACAGACATATGAAATCAACCAGCATCAACTTATCCACATTAAAAAAATATTCTATCAAATTTCGCCTTTTTTCAATTCACAATACGCTCGATTAGTATTGTGTTTCTTTACGGTAAATTTGAACACTACTAGTTTTTGGACTTTAAAAATGTTCAAAGTCATTCAGTATAGTTGTTAATAGTTTTTTTTTTTAGAAAACAGCAATAATACTACTACTATCACTGTCAAATCGGTCTCATACAATTTAGCTATTCTCATTGATTAAATCTATCCTTGTGAATGTAATAAAATAATGACGCTTAGAAGTATGCTCGATTGATTATCAATACAATTGTTACCTTGTCACTCTTTCTGTTGTTGTAGTTGTTAATTGAAATCATTGAGGCAATTGATTTCCTGTTTTGTCATGAGAAAAGACAATCCCAAATCAAAAACACTACCACCATCATCTTTCTCCTTCTCCTCGTTTCTTTCTAATTCAAATCAATTGAATTATTATACTGATTAATATAAGTTTGATGGAGTATAAATCGATATGAATAATTGGGGTAGGGGATGGGGGTGCGGTTAGCGTTAAGTAGAGTGAAATACAGAGAGAACAAGGTCAACTTTGATAGGTGAACGTTTCATGTCAATTGTTTGCTTGGTTGTCAATACTTCACACTTCATTTTTTTTACCTACCTACTTCCTTTCTATGTTTGTTTGACGTATATTTCGATTAGCTATGTACATTAATATTATTGTTATTATGAGATTAATCCAAATTATTTCTTGAAAAAAGTCATATACTCATAAAAACACATTTATACTCTGGCACTTATATTGTATTGTATTTTTAATTAATTTAAGTAGCATAATGAGTAGTAGTATGAAAAACTACTAATCTCTCTCTCACTCTCTCTCTCTATCCCATTGTATTACCTTTACAATCTAATCTGTCTTATCCAATGATGATATATGGATAGTTTTCATTTCGACTCTCTGTCTTTCTTATTTATACTGTCCGAGAAAATGTGATTGAATGAATGAGAGAATTAATTATTCGTCTGTTTTCTTCTTTTTTTTTTCAATAGAAAGTTTTGAGCTTTTCAAGTTTATACTCACTGTCGTTCACTCTTACTCTCTCTCTCTCTGGCGCGCGCTCTGTGACTGTCACTCACTCTTACTTCCCTATGAATCACTTCACATTATTATTATGATTTCCTGTTTTGTTTTCTGTTCTCTGTTTTCTATTCTTTCATTCAATTTCACAACTGACCTAGTTTTATAAAAACAAAACAATTTATTTTTTGATTGTATGTAAGTGTGTTTGTGTCAGTGTTTGTGTGTGTGTGTGTGTACGCGTGTGCGCATAGAAAGGTTGTGTACACAGCTCTACTTTTTGTTTTTTTTAATTTCGATGAGTATTGATTTGATTAAAATGCATATCATTATTACCATTATTATTATTATTATTTGTTATTAATAACGATGGCGTTGTAGTTGAGTTAGTTTTTGGTTCGTTTGTATGTGTGTGTATAGGTAAGTATATGTGTTCTCATTGGAAAATAAACACTGATGAATGATGGTCGTTTGTATTCTTTTATGTGCATACACACGCACACACACATGCACACACTGTGTTGGTCATCACCAATTCCTTGTCGGACAATAAATAAAACATACCGTTGATTGAAAATGAAAACTCAAATAAATCTTTTATATTATATTTTTAAAACAAGAAATAATCAAATCGACAATGAAATATTATTCAAGTTTAAGTCTACATTATCTGTTCTCATTTAACTCTGACCAACTGATCAATGATGAACTAGTTTTTCTATCTAATCATACCGGCCCATTGGTTCAGAGGTTATTAGGCAGGCGTTCGCGCTCAAGACCGAAGGTCACGGGTTTGAATCTTGTGAGGTGCAGGAGTCATGGATGCACATTGCCACTGATGAGTACCATACTAGGACAAAATGGCCGTCTTTAAGTGCTTCCAGGTATCTAAAGGTGTGATCTAACAATCATCGATTGATGATTTCCGATGTGTAAAAAACAATAATCTCCATAACTCTGATTGATATATCTAATAATAGCTTTACTCTACTCTGAAATCAACCTTCGTTTACTGTTGAGATGAAGTTAATGACTGAGTTATACTTGAGGAATTTTGTGACCTTTTTTCTCCTAGACCTTTAAGGTTGGACAATATTCATTACTGTAAATTACTATTATTGTTGTTCATGAATCAATCTCATCATTGAAATCATGTATCGATCAATGTCAGACTGTAGTGAACGAGAACACAGTTGGGGCAACCGAATTGTATTTAACGAAAATTACTGAGTTACTCAGTAAAATCGGAAAACCATATCGTAAATTGTTCATTTGCAAAATATCAGTTCATCATATCGAACTGGACTGTTCCTGTTGCAAAACACCAATCCATTGTCACTATTCATGCTATTTCATACAAACTCCATTGTGTTCCCACTCTTCTTCCTTTCTTGATCTTCACCCATCTTCTGCTGCCAGACATTACGTTGACACTCACGTCATATACTACTTATAAGTAGCTCACACCACAGTAGTAGCAATATTCACAGTAATGGAAAATATTAGGGATCGAGGATATGATTCGAGAAGTATTTCCCTGCCAGACATTACTACGTTTTCACTCGCGTCATATACTACTTATAAGTAGCTTGCACCACAAGACCACCATTAGAAACCTGTAACCACTGGATGTCCGTTTCGTCCAGGTATGGGACTCATCGGCGGTGCGCATCCATGACTACTTCCCCTCGCAGGATTCGAGCCTAGAACTTTCGGTCTTGGGCGCGAACGCTTAACCTCTGAACCACCGACCTGGTATTTGATGGTGTTAATGTTTAACTCCGATCAATTCACGATCTTGCTCAACCTCATACACTGTCTTCAATAGTTACTGTCTACACTCGAATAGGTTTGAACTCTAGTGGTCACGACTTCTCTTACTAGAACTCTGAGAAGATTGATTCCTCATGGAGAAAGTCACTAGTGAGCCAATTGTACGATTTTTTTTATATTTTAGAGTTATGCAGATTGCTGTTTACTATTGAAATTATGATACAATCATTTATAACACCCTAAATAATTCACAACCAATATTTTTTCATCTACTGTGCAAATCAACCATCATATTCTCAGATAAAATAGATCAATAATTTTGTGAGTTTAAATCAATTGATTGTTACTGACCATTAGTATTGACCATCATATATATATATATATATATATATATATATATATATATATATATATATATATATATATATCAGAATCACCTAATCCTTAATACAAAAAAAAACTCTGGCCACTTTAAAAACGTAAATTCACACAAGCCCCTTTTTTTTTAGAAATGTATTGAACTGTTTCTTTTATATTAGTAGTCAGTCAGCTTTGTGGATGATTTAATTTATTAACTGAATTGATGATAAATGCATATGGTTATTATATGATTTTATTGATTTTTTTTCTTTAATCCTAGGAGTTACTCTACACATACCAGATACTATTATGGGTTTAACATTTATTGCAGCTGGTTCCAGTGTACCTGATGCGATTGCTTCAGTGATTGTTGTTCGTGAAGGTAAGTATTTTCACAGACTGGGTGATTTTAGGTATGGAAATATTTTATTATATTTTGTTCTATTCGGTAGTTTAATGGTAGATTAATTATTTACCCAATGAATAAAATTTTATATTCAGTTATTCACAGATGGCGAAGTTTGAATTATATGTGTTGTATAATTCCTCAACTGGTTATCACTCAGTGACTGAATAGTGTCAGTCAATCAGTCAGTCAGCTTCAACGTAGAACTTCGTACGTACGTACGTACGTACATCAGTTCAAGTTGTCATACCACATTAGCACACAAATCTTGGATGGACAATTCAAATCCCATAGTAGTACAGGTGGCGGAAATATCAGTAGTAATCAAAAAGGTTAATGATTGAAAAGTATATCCCAGTCTGAGAATATAACAGTCTTGAAAGATTCAGAAGAGTAGAATTTGAGAGAAAACAAAGAATGGATACACTCGCACCATTGCAAATGATCTTGAGCTATGTTATTCAAGGTCTGTAATTGTTTGTTTCACGGACCCTAACCTAGTAGTAGTCTACACAAACCAACATTGCATAGTCCATTTGTCAGTGACTTTATGGATTTGTACCATGTTTTAGTGTGTCTGCCCCTAGCTTTCTTCTAGCCTACCCCTACATTACAACATATTGCTCGTTGAGGTAGGTAGTCGGTGGTTGGGCTTACGTAACAAATGTCCCAACTGACTGGCGTAATTACCATGATTTTACAAAGGAAAGAATAGTTCAGTGATGCAGTAGCCAATGAACACTATGTTTTGAATCCTAGAAGAAACATCTGTTCCTTGAAGTTTATGAACATATATCTTGTTTTGGTATGTGTATCCGACAATGAAACGAAAATGATCTTCACTGTTTTAACATGCCTTGGAGGACGTTAACACCTTTACATATCTGGACAGCATCATCGACAATCAAGGTGGATCCGATGCAGATGTGAGGGCGCGGATTGGCAAAGCAAGGGCTGCGTTTCTACAGTTGAAAAATATCTGGAACTCCAAACAACTTTCAACCAAAACCGAAATCACAATTTTCAATACAAATGTCAAGACAGTTCTACTGTATGGAGCGGAAACTTGGAGAACTACGAAAGGCATCATCCAGAAGAAACAAGTGTTTATTTACAGTTGTCTACGCAAAATACTTCGGATTCGCTGGCCAGACACGATCAGCAACAACCTACTGTGGGAGAGAACAAACCAGATTCCAGTGGAGGAGGAAATCAGGAAGAAGTGGTGGAAGTGGATAGGACACACATTACGAAAAGCACCTAACCGCGTCACAAGACAAGCCCTCACATGGAACCCTCAAGGTAAAAGGGAGGGAGTAAGGTCAAGGAACACATTACGTCGAGAAATAGAGAAAGATATGAGAAGAATGAACAAACATTGGACAGAACTGTAGAGGCAAGCCCAGGACAGAGTTGGTTGGAGAAAACTGGTCGGCGGCCTATACTCGATTGTGGGTAACAGGCGTGAGTAAGTAAGTAAGCTTTAACATGTTCATCCTTAGATTTAATTTTAAATTGTATCTGATAAAATTACATGTTGCCGAATCTAACTTATCTTTCATTGAAATCATAAACAACTGATCAATGTTAGACCACCATTGCGGAAAGCCGTAATCACTGGGTTTCAATGGAGCTCAACACTCTCCACAACCTTATACTAACAATTATCATGTGCTCTCTGGTGACTAGCTTTGTCAGAGGAATTCGCAGAATTTCATGGGAAACCCTAACCAACGGAGTTCAACTGTGTCGGATATGAAGCCTCAACCAATCGATGACAATCGATGGGATTGCGCATTGCCGTGAATTAATTTAGGTTAGACATTAACACCGTTATATGTCGTCGGCTCAGTGATCAAGACCAAAGATCCTGGGTTCGATTCCCTCTCTTAAGGTTGTGGGTGTGCAACGCTAATGAGTCCCATACGCTAGGACGAAGCAGTCGTCCAGTGCTTCCATGTTTACATTGATCAGTTCATGATTTCAGCAATCTCCACAACCCTATACTGATAAATTATCTTAATGATTTTCTTCAAGAAGTCACAATGAAAAAGATTGTTCAGTTTGTGACGTCTCTTTATAAACTTTGTTCAACAGAGAATCTTCAGAGATATGTTGTGGTAGTGTGCTTTCGACTTGTTAATAAACTTATTCGATCCTTTTTCAGTTGCACTTATGTAAATCTAAAAGACATATCATAATTATATCAATCCGTCATTGTGCATTTTTAGTTTTATGAAAATAATGCGAATCAGCAAGAATGATACAAATAGCTAATTTTGGTGATTTCTATTAGAATTGTTGGACAGAAACAATTAATTATGCCATAAACTAATCACTACTAATGAGTAGTATAATTATTAAATAATACTGCTTAAATATTATTCTTAAATTACTAGAATTAATTTCCAACCTTAAAATTTTATCTATTAGACTAATGAAAGGCTTAATTTTAGAAATTTCAATTTGTTGTGTTAGTTTATATGAATGTGTTAAGGTATCTGTTAGGATATTAATCAAATATCCTAAGAGAATTATTTGTAAATTTAATTCTATTGGTCGATTCCTATTGGTTAATTCCCATCAGTCTTCCGAACTATCAATATCACATATTTCAAATGTTGTTTCCTATTCCACCTAACTGTATAAATATGCACTGTTTGTAACGTTTAGTGGTCCGGATCCTCAGTCTGAGATCCTTATCCTCTTCTGGACTCGGACCGCATAATTTCTGGGTGCTTGTAGAGTACACATTTTACTTCATATCAAGACTTCTTCATCTACTCAGTGAAGGTTTGGGACGCTCGGACTGGAGTAGCCTATCGTGTCGCTGGATCATCGATCCTCTCACTCGTTTACCGACTAAGGTGAACTCGTGATAGTTCAAGCATATCAATTGACGTGTTAACGTGCATTCATGACAATATCCTGTTATGAGTAGATTAGAAAACTAAAGAATGTAATTATGTGATGAATTTGATGTGGCCTACGTTTGATTTGTCTATTATATATATATATATTACAAATTTATGCACTCTACTTTATGTGAAGCATTTTATATTCAGAATATTAGAATTCTATAACCTAGCTGATCAAAGTGAGTCGAAATAGTTCAAATCGGGCCTGTATTCGAGATATATTAGTTCGAAACTCATCGCTTCTCTCATAGTTTCAAGGAAATAATCGGAAACAAGTGGTCAAAGATAATATTAAGAAAAGGAATATAGGACTTACTTACTTACTTACTTACACCTGTGACCCCTCAAGGAACATAAGCCACCGATCAGAATTCTCAATCCTGCTTTATCCTGGCCTTTGTTTTCCATTTGCTTCATATCTGTCTCCTTTTCTCGGTGCAGTGTAATCTTTCATGTATCTTTTTTACTGTGGCCTTGAAGACGCCATGTTAAGCCTTCCTCGTGGCTCAGTTGGGTGATTTCCGCAATGTAGGTTGTGTACACCTAATTTCTTCCACGCTTGGAAGCTGGTCTGTTCTCTTCTACAATAGATTGTTGCTGTTGTCTGGTCAACGGATCCTCAGTATTTTGCATAGACAACTGTTAATAAGTACTTGTATCGTGTGGATGATGGATTTCGCGGTTCTCTAAGTTTCCGCCACTTAAAGTAGAACTGTCTTGACGTTTGTATTGAAAATTGTGATTTTGGTGTTGGTTGACAGGCAGTTGTTTTGAGTTTCAGATGTTGCTTTTGCTTTGCTAATGCATGTCTTTACATCTGCGTAAGTTGCTGCCCATATATATAAATATTTCCAAAATTTCCAAAGCTTGTCTGTCTAATGTGATTTAGTTGGTGCGTGTTGTGTTATATCGGAGGATCTTGCTTTTTCCCTTGTGTGTTTAGACTTACTATTGCAGAGTCTGCTGCTGCTACCTTGACCATATTTACTTCCATATGTTAATGTTTGTCAAATCGAAGAGCTAGGATGATCTGCGAAGTTCATATCTTCAAAATACATCCTAGCCGTCTAGTGTATCCATTCCCTTCTGTGAGATATTGAGCTCTTCATAATGCAACCAACCACTACAAGCAACAGAATGGTTGAGAGTAAGCAACCTTATCTGACACCAGTCTTCATTTCATTGAAATAAATACTCTCTACATTGAAATTGTTCACGAAGGCTTTGTAGGCTGTCATGTTTCTATGTTGTCAATACGAACAAAGACATATTGATCTTAGTTTAAGTTACCAAAACCAATCAATCTAGTCCTATCTTTGTCAAGACTGAAATTTGAAATAGTTTAGTTGGTAGTTTAAACTCTGTTCTATCAATCTGAGCAATGTATTAGGCGTTAGTCAGCTCTAATGAAAGTTCAGAAAAATATCATTATGCACTGGTTCATCTTATCATATCATCTTAGGACGAGATAAAATTAAAAAGATTCACAAAAGAATTGAAATATTAATAAAGTCAATAATCGAAACAAAAATTACACATTATTCAGTATACTGTTCAAAAGATTGAAAAATACAAAATCCTATTGAAACTCATAATTTTAACAAAAACAGAATAAAATAATCTGTGAAAAATTTGATCAATTCTAGCTTACTTCGTCCTACATCACTCATTGATTACTACTATCGTGCTCATCTAGTCAGGAAATGTAGCTCATCATTATTACTTGGTACATTTAGGCACTTACTTACTTACTTACTTACTTACTTACGCCTGTTACCCCCAATGGAGCATAGGCCGCCAACCAGTTCCCTCCAACCAACTCTGTCCTGGGCTTCCCTCTACAGTTCTGTCCAATATTTGTTCATTCCTCTCATATCTTTCTCTATTTCTCGGCGTAATATGTTCCTTGGCCTTCCTCTTTTCCTTTTGCCTTCAGGGTTCCATGTGAGGGCTTGTCTCGTGATGCAGTTAGGTGCTTTTCGTAGTGTGTGTCCTATCCACTTCCACCGTTTCTTCCTGATTTCCTCCTCTACTGGAATCTGGTTTGTTCTCTCCCACAGTAGGTTGTTGCTGATGGTGTCTGGCCAGCGAATACGAAGTATTTTGCGTAGACAACTGTTAATAAATACTTGTATCTTCTGAATGATGGCTTTGATAGTTCTCCAAGTTTCCGCACCATACAGTAGAACTGTCTTGACATTTGTATTGAAAATCCTGATTTTGGTGTTGATTGATATTTGTTTAGAGTTCCAGATATTTTTCAACTGTAGAAACGCAGCCCTTGCTTTGCCGATCCGCACCCTAACATCTGCATCGGATCCACGTTGATTGTCGATGATGCTGCCCAGATATGTAAAGGTGTTAACGTCCTCCAAGGCATCTCCATCAAGAGTAATTTCGGTTGGTGCATGTTGTGTTGCTTTGGAGAATTTTACTTTTTCCTTAGGCACTAACTTGTTGGTTATAATTTGATCATAGTCTATATATATGATCAATTTTTAATCTCTGACTTAAAGTACTCCTTTTTTCGTAGCATTATTCAATGTAGAAGTAGTAGCAGTAGTAGTAGGATAACAATAGTTTAGGCCTTATTGATGCTAATTTTTTTTTCATAGAGTATAGTTTTTGGCAATCAATGTCCAATATATTATTTCTACAGTTTTCTGTCCCAATATAATATTTCATTTTCCTTATTCATAATTGATTGGTTAAACAAACGCTTCCAATCATTCTTCTTATTAGTTATTGTAATGGAATAATTTTTTTAGCCATATACAATTAACTGTTGATTATTCATGTCTATAATTAACAATGAGTATATGTCTCTCTTTATTCCTACCCACCATATATAGATTATTATGCATAGGTGAGAACAAATCGGCATTCATTGATTGTGTTTTCTCAAATTCTAACCTTCTGAATTCCGTATCACTCCTATCGTTCACCTTCTAAATTTATCTCACTGTATTACACTTCTCGAATCATATCTTCAAACCCTAATCTTCTCCATTACTGATAATACTTCTACTATCGGTACCACTATTCGATTTGAACTAACAGTTTCATCTCTGCGCTAATACGGTACGGCAACCTGAACTGATGTACTTACTTACGAAGTTCTACGTTGTAACTGATTGACTGAACTGTTACCCCCAATGAGCATAGACCGCCCACCAGTTTTCTCCAACCAACTCTGTCCTGCGCTTCCTTCTCCAGTTCTGTCCAATGTTTGTTCATTCTTCTCATATCTGTCTCCATTTTCCTGCGTAATTTGTTTTTCGATCTTCCTCTTTTCCTCTGGCCTTACGGATTCCAACTGAGTGCTTGTCTTGTGACGCAGTTGGGTGTTTTCGTCAATATGTGTCTTATACACTTTCAGCACGTCTTCCTGATTTCTTTCTCCGATGGAATCTGGTTTTATCTCTCCTACAGTAGGTTATTGCTGATCGTGTCTGGCCAGCAGATCTGAAGTATTTAGCGTTGTAGTGAAGAAGAACACATGTGGGGCAACCGAATTGTATTTCACGAAAATTACAGAGTTACTCAGTAAAATCGGAAAACCATATCGTAAATCGTTCATTTGCAAAATATCAGTTCATCATATCGAACTGGACTGTTCCTGTTGCGAAACATCAATCCATTGTCACTATTCATGTGTTTCATACAAATTCCATTGTGTTCTAACTCTTCCTTTCTTGATCTTCCCCCATCTTCTGCTGCCAGACATTACGTTGACACTCACGTCATATACTACTTATAAGTAGCTCGCACCACAGAGTAAATAACTGTTAATAAATACTTGTATCTTCTGGATGATGGCTTTGTTAGTTCTCCAAGTTTCTGCCCCGTACAGCAGAACTGTCTTGACGTTTGTATTGAAAATTATGACTTTACTGTTGGTTGACAGGCAGTTGTTTTGAGTTCCAGATGTTATTCAGTTGTTGAAACGTTGCCCTTGCTTTGTTGATCCGCGTTTTCACATCTGAATCAGATCCACCTTGAATGCTGATGATGCTGCCCACATATGTAAAGATTTCTACCTCCTCCATGGCTTCTCGGTCAAGTGTGAATTGGCTAGCGCATGTTGTGTTGTATCGGCGAATCTTGCTTTTCCCTTTGTGTACGTTGAGACCCACCGATCTTGCTACACTGATAGTCTTATCTTGCATTTATTGTTACGTGTGAAATAGAATAGCTAGATTGTCTGCGAAGTTTAAATCGTTCAGCTACGTCTGAGCTGTTACTGTATCCCATGCTTCCCCCCCAGATGTTGACGTCTTCATAACCCACTCGATCCCCATGAACAGACGTTACTTATTCTCACGTAAATGGACATTATTAGCTGGTGTAAAAGTTAAAAACGAGGCTAAGGCAGTCAAATTAAAGCATAGCATCAGTTTATGAAGTGATCGACTATTAGTCTTAACCATGTTGGTTGATGCAAACGTTTTGGTTAGGATTATTGTCTACGTGATAATTGCGATCAATGGTCGGAGATACTGAGTGATATGACTAAAAATCAGTGACTACGTTTCAAGGGCATTCACGCTTTAGTTTCCTCTAAATTGTAAGTTCCAGTATTTCTTCATACATATTTTAGTGGCCCGCAATCTGACTCCAATTTTGACGAACAATTTTATTTGCTATACACTAAATCTTCGCTTTAATTTCCGCAAATCATTCTTAGACAACAACGGTAATTAAAAGCCTAATACGATTTATTTTGGAAACATTTATTTCATACATTCTCCTAAACAGAAAGACAATAAAGAGAATCGTAAACATGAATCAGAGACGTTGAGTAGCATGCGCATAAGTACTTATAGTCAACCAAAATTAAACTAGACTTGTGATAAGCAAAGTGTAACCAATGCACACACGTACACACAAATATAAACAACTGAATTTTATGCGTGTGAATATTAATTCAGCAAGAACAGTTGAATTATTTTGTCTAGAAGCTAGAACAAGTCATGTTGACTCAATATATTAATTAGTACACAATACAATACTTTTTTCAACCCTGCTTCCTCAATCATAGTCTTGGTTCTTAGTCTTTCTCATTATATCATTGCTACTGCATTTTATTTACGTCTGTTCACTATTTGTCTTGTCGTGTCAAATTCAGCATTGCAATCTGGTCTATATATGTAGTACAGACTTTCCAGGCTCTCCATCAATCATGACTAACCAACTGATTAGGTAGATAATGTAGTGTCACTAACCTTCACAACTCAAAACTGAATGCATAAAGCCTCCAACTATATTTCATGAATAATATTGAATCACTATGTACTTACATAGTTTACTTTCAGCTATACTGTCTTCTCTTTTTTTTTCACGTATAGGTGAAGGTGATATGGCTGTGTCAAATGCAGTAGGAAGTAATGTATTCGATATATTAATCTGTATGGGTTTACCATGGTTAATGAAATCAATCATTTCACAAGCGCCAATTGTTATCTTTTCTAGAGGTTAGTAATTCAATTGTTTGTTTGTTTTTTTTTGGTAAATTTTATTTATTTAGTTAGTTGAATAATGATTGTGTTTTTGTTAAGAATTGTCGAATTCATTCCGGACAACAAGTTTCAATGTATTAGTGTGTGTGTGTGTACAGTATGACAATGTTATAGAAACTGAAATTTTAATTTTATAAGATGTATGCAGAATTCTGTTCGATGTTATCAAACTAGTAAGAAGTCGTGATTGACTTAGTTCAGGCACGATGAGAATGGAACAGTTTTATTTTAATTAGCACTGTCAAGCCCAAGATTTAGGCTGTATATATGTTATTGATGTTTAGTGTAAAGAAGTAGCACATACAACAAAATTCTTCTTCTGATTATCAACTTGACCGAACTCCATTATCAGTAACAGCGTCACATACAGTACTGTATATAATTTCTATCACAGATAGGAAACCGTGGAAAACCAAAGAACACTGAAATCATGAGTCAACCGTCGCAGGACCATCATTAGAAACCCGGATGGCTGCTTCGGTTCGGCATAGTACTGATCGGCAGTGCGCATACACGGATCCTGCTACTCGCAGGAATCAAACCTAGGACCTTCGGTCATCTGCATGAACCCCCAGCCACGAAACCTCATACATTTGTCTTCGGTAGTTACCGCCTAAAATCGTTAGGGTTGAGCCACACTGGTTACCTTTTCTCACTAGAACTCCGAGAACTTCCTCAAGAAGCTAGTCAGTAATGAAGACATTGTACAGTTTTTCATTGTAGAGTTATGGAGATTGTAGCCGATTATTAAAATCATACTATTGAAGTCAATCAATGATTTTGAACTACACATACGCTGCACAGTTGATTCAGTACGAATTTTTTTACAGATTTTCGAAAGTTATGTCTTATGGGATTCAAAATCATTCTCAAAAGTGACACATCTGATCGGCACTAGACTACTAGAAAGGGGTCTGCGAGACTATAGTAACCGATGGTTAGAGACCTCGAACGACATTGCTCAAAATCATTTGTAATGGTACGAGTGCACTCACTCGTCATGCTCTATGAACATCTATTCGTCAACACCTCTACCTTTCTCTTACTAAAGTTATCTCACTGAATTATACTTCTCAAATAATATCTCCACTACTGCTAATATTTCTTCTATCTCTACCATTATGGGATTTATACTGACAGTTGCGTCTCTGTGTTGATGGGGTATGGCAACCTGAACGTTAACGTAGTCAGCATAACACTCTAACAATCAACATGGGTTAAACTCTGTTAATTATTACTATTCGAAAGTAAGTCATCAGAGAGGTTAGGATTGTGATTAGCATTGTTAATTAGCTTTGAGAAATCCCATACTAATGACGAAACAATTTCTTCAATTATGGTCAATTACGGTGAAATAAGCCATCAAAAAAAACTCGAACAATCTTCATAAACCCCGTATACTAATACGTATATATATACTTTTTTATTACTTATCATAACAGGTTTACTTTATTCCACATTGACATTATTTACAACAGTCATTTATCTTCTCATTGCAACACATATCAATCGTTGGCGTTTAACAAAAATTTATGGTTATGCATTACTTATTGGTTATGTCATTGTACTTATATTCTGTAGTTTATATGAATTAAATTATTTCGGCACAGTACATTTACCATCATGTCCATTGATAGAATGAATAAATCAATCGATAAATAAATCACTATAAACTGTTCTCATTATTCACATTTATTATATTCATCTAATTGAAGCCGAATGTCATCATATGATATTATTAGGGTTATATTATTATTTCACTCAGATGAATTGGTTTTTTTCTACTCATTCATGATTGTTGGGACATTGTCTACTATTCCTACTAATACTACTACTAATAATAATAGTCAGTAGTATTGGTTTTTATTTTAATTCAATCTCGCATACATTTATTTCCTCATTGATTGTCATTACTTATAACTTACACTAATAGTAGTATAATCAAGGATTTTTTTTTGTGTTTTTCTCACTCTCCAATGCATTTTATTTTAAATGCTATCTATCTCATTTCTTGAAGTGAAGTTGTATATCAACCCTTTAAAGAATATCTATCTGTATTATTTATTGTATAACGCGCATAATCATAAAACACTCTTCTCTCTCTCTGTTTTTTTTCTCAAATTTTATTTATTTATAATTGTTTTTTAAAAAAAAAGTAGTCAAATATCTCTTTGTGACAAATATTTTGTTATCATTGTGTTCCCATTCCTTGCTCCCATTCACGTTTATATATACATATATATATGCATATTCTTTCAATCTCTTGTTGTATTGAAGTTTATTATTATTGTTATAAATTGTCATCGGACTTGTTTATCATTGTTGACTTCTTTTTTTTTTCTTCTGGGTTTTTAATTCAATGCATTTTATTCAACAACAACAATAATAATAAAACAAAAACTGGGATTGTGTTTGTCTGTTTTTCTCTGGTCAAATATGTTATGGTCTTATCTTAAAAGTGGAAATAATCTTTAATTATCTATACATAAATAAATAAATATATATATATTTCTCTTACTTTTTGTGGTGTTATAAATAGTTTATTTATAGTTAGTCTTTCACTGAAGCAATGAAATAATTATTAGTAATCGAAGCCTTGCCTTTATATCTTCGGACAACCGAGTAAGCAATGCTATATATATAGGAAACAAGTACTAGGTAGGGATGACAGATCAGTAGATGAAGTAGTCGAACTGCGTCAATTGAGGTGGTTAGGACATGTTTTACGAATGCCCAACCACCGACTGCCTCGTCGGGCTATGCTACGCGATATAGGAATAGGTTGGACGAAAGCTATGGGTGACCGAACAACCAAAATATGTCAGAAATCCATGAAGTCACTGACAAGTGGACTGAGCCATGTCGGTAGATGTAGGCTACCTGGTTGGGGTCCGCGAGACGAAAGTCACCAATGGTCAGAGACCTTGAATGACATGACACAGAATCGTTTGCAATGGCGCAAGTGCAGTCACCCTTTGTGTTCTATGAAATTCTAACCTGAATTCCTCATCATCTCTTTCTAAAGTCTCTGTGCTAATGCGGTATAGCAACCTGAACTGATGTGTACGTATGTACGAGGTTCTACGTTGTAACTGACTATACTGACTAGATTGTAAATATTTACAATGGTTTTTTTATTTAGTAATTATTACTTGCACTTTCAACCAATCACGTGATTGCGTTGTAAGGAGGATAAGGTGTCTAAAAATTGACTGAAACACTGTTGAACAAGAATATATAAATATATATTGGTACAATTGGCTAGATGAATAATTCACATATCATTAACTCGCCTATTATATACTTCGATTCTATTTGTTATTTCACTCTGAAGACATTGTACAGATTATTATCTGACTCCTTTTCTTGTCAATCTCTTGCAGTTACTAGTAATTTACACTGGATATGAATACGTTGATACGATCTTCATAAGTGAAATTCATTTTTAACCTTCAGTTGATTTATATTCAGTAGATAAATATCTTCCTACTAATAATAAGTATTGAAATGAATCAACTTATTCATGTCAAGACATATTTGATGTGATAGGTGACATTTATTGTTGCAACTAAAATTGTTTTGTGGTGTTTTGTTCTCTGAGCTGGTTATTTTGGTTGTGGAGCTTTCATTGTTCTTCTGAACAACATCATCAACACAAACTTCAGATAGAAGTGAAGCATTCGAATATCTCCACGTTTGACCTGTAGCTTGTTCTGCTACCAATCAAGATCGAAGTTAGCAGAACAAGCTACAGGTCAAACGTGGAGATATTCGAATGCTTCACTTCTATCTGAAGTTTGTGTTGATGATGTTGTTCAGAAGAACAATGAAAGCTACACAACCAAAACAACCAGCTCAGAGAACAAAACAACACCACAATCATCCACCTGAGCTACAAGTTTTCTCCACCATCTTAAAATTGTTTTAATTTGACTTTAACAAAAAGAAGATAGGTTGATTATCAAACAATTGATTGATTGATTGACAGAAAAGTCCAGAAAAAAAAAGCAAATATACAATGAAGCTTATTGAACTCATTGGAAGTTGTGAAAAATTTATTTCTTAATACAATAATATACATCTAAATATTTGCAGCAGCTGTAGCAGTTGTAGTAGTAGTAGTAACAAGGAAGAGAATACAACATATATGATATGACATAATATGAAGAGAAATCCAATCAATTTTTGGAAAATATCCATGCAACATTTAAACCTGATGGACCAAGTGAAACAGATCTGTTGTTAAAAGTGTAGATAAGAAAAAAAATTGAATGATTGATTAGTTATTATTCAAATGATAAAATTTTTCTTTGTAGTGAAAGTATTGCTAACCGAAGGACGAGTGTGTACTGCGCAGCAGTTCGCTCCGCCCTACTAGATGAATGCGAAACATGGCTGGTAAGAGTTGAGGATATTCGTAGGTTATTAGTATTCAATTATAGATGTCTTCGGAGCATTGCTCGTGTATCGTGAGACAACCGAGTAAGCGATGCTGCCATTAGGAAACGTGTATTAGGTAAAGATGATGAAGTAGTGAAACTTCATCAGTTGAGGTGGTTGGGACATGTGTTACATATATGCATAACAACCGACTGCCTCGACGAGTTGTTTTGTGGTGTAGGGGTAGGTTGGAAGAAAGCTAGCGGCTGTCAAAACAAAAACATGGCGCAAATACATGAAGTCACTGACAACTGGACTGAATGGTGTCGGTAGAGGTAGGCTACCCTGTTGGGGTCCGCGAGACGAAAGTCACCGATGGTTAGAGACCTTGAGAGACATGACTCAAAATCGTTTGCAATGGCGCAGGTTCATCCAGTCGTTACGCTCTATGAACATCTAATCCTCTGTATTCGTCATCACTTCTACCTTTATCTTTCTAAAGTTATCTCACTGAATAATACTTCTTAAATAATATCTCCATTACTTCTAATATTTCTACTATCTCTACCACTATGGGATTTGAACTGACAATTGCATCTCTGTGCTGATGAGGTATGGCAACCTGAACTTATTTCCTCATATACGAAGTTCTATGTTGCAACTGACTGACGACTTAAATCAACTCAAACTATTAGTTGTAGAAATAGTGCTCAATAGTTGCATAACATTAAACGTCACAATGTGTGAAGCAAATTCTAAATATAAAAATGAGTTACTCAGATACGAATTCAACTGGGGTTATTGATCCCTTTTAAGATTCAAGTGCAGTATGCTTACGAATCCAAACACTGGCACGAAACCGAGATCTTGGATTCTACATCACTTACTCCTTAGATTCTGTCAACTTATTTTGAACAAGTAGCTTAACAACCCGGAAATTCTTTAATGAACAACGTTTAATGCTAGGTCAGTACTTTTTAGACCTTACCTTCGTTAGAAAAAACGCACGGTAAGGCAGCGTCAGTGCAGGTGTTGATTGTCAAGGAAATCATCTTACTACTGTCACATTGCCTTATGTATTTGGCAATACAACTTTCCTGTCGGACTGTAAGTTTGATATTCGTAGTTTTGCTGATCCTTAATCAATCGGTCCTAGTGAGTTACAATCCATATGATCGTACCAAAAAAATAGTATTTTGTTAAGGATAACGTTTTATCCAGACTTCCCGACCGTAGCTGCTACCTTGACGTGGTAGTCGAGCTTGCCTATCGTCATGACCCAACCGAGCTATATTGGCTGGAACATATGTCCCTGAAGGTTCTACCATCCTAGGCAGGTCGATTGCAGAACGATGAGACTGAAAGCAGCTACCCAAGGTCTGAGGGCGAAGTCGTACTGCCAACTGCAGAGGGGTTTTTCCCTCGGGCAACTAGCATCTGCAGCGATGCTGCCTTCTTACAAGGAAGGAAGGGTTAGAAAAGGTCGGCCCTAAAAATGTCACACCTCACCCTACCTCACGGATTTCCGTCTCCGTCGGTAAGGGTGCCCACTAAGGGCTTTTAAGAGCGGAGCTAATACTCAAAAAACCTTTCATAAAAAGGCCGTGCGTGACCGGCCTCAAGCAGTTATCCCTTGGGCTCTGCGGTGACACACCCAGGTCTCTAAGATCAACACTAATCTATCTTCCTTTTCAGGTCCCTCAAGAAACAACCTTACACGGTGTGGGCAGCCGGGAATCGGTAACTTTTCGGATCATATCTTTGCTCCCTAATCTTCTCCATTGCTGCTTAAAAATTCTACTATCGCTATCACACTTGGATTTGAACTGACAGTTACGTCTCTGTGCTAACGTGGTATGGCAACCTGAACTGATGTACTTATGTACGGCGTTGTATCTGTCTGTCTGTCTGTTATCCAGACTTGACCATTAAGTGGCAACTATGGCGGGGAGTGAACAAACAAACAAAAAAAGCCATAAAACTCCAGTTGTTGCTCATTAGTACTCATCAATATTACCAAAAGAAATAAGCAGATATAAACCCAAAAAACTTCGAATGTGACAGATATCATCATTAAAGTAAAATAGAAATATGAAGATTTGTGTTATACAACAACTCACCTGAATTTTTCATTTCTAGATACATAATAATGTAAGAATAGTAAAATAGCATGATAGATATTTTTCTGACCCGGAACAAAATTGTATATTCTACCATTTAATACCAATTTGAATTGTGGTGGTTGTACAGAGACTTGATAAAATTGACAATTATGCTTGCTTTTTAAATCTGTAGTAAATTAAGAAAAAATTAAGCAAATATGTATTTTTTTAAAATTATTGTGTAAGGTGATTGATTGTTTTTATTTTACTCTAAGATCAGTAACAACTACAACTAGTATTGGCCTTTCAGGAGTTGACCTTCTACTGCGAGATTCATTTGTTGACTTAGAATATGCCGATAACATAGCTTTACTTGGTGTGAGGACGCTGAAGAAGCAGGGATATTCATAGGTTACTAATATTCGATCATAAGCGTCTTCGAATCATTGCTCCAATACTATGAAAAAAACGAGTAAGTAATGTTGGTGTTAGGAAAAGGGTACGAGGTAAGAATAGCAGATCAATCGATTAAGTAGTTAGGACATGTTTTACGAATAATGCCCAACCACCGACTGCTTCGGCGAGTGATGGATTGTGGTGTAGGAGTGGGTTGGAAGAACGCTAGGGGCAGCCAAACCAAAACATGGCCCAAATCGATGAAGTCACTGACAAGTGAACTGTGCCATGTTGGCATGTATAGACTACCTGCTTAGTGTCCGAAAGACAATCGTAACCTTGAATGACATGGCTCTAAATCATTTGAAATGGCGCACGTACATCCATTCATTGACTTCTTTCAAATTCTAATCTTTCGAATTCCTCATCACTTATATCTTTTTAAATTTTTTTAACTGAATAGCACTTTTCAAATGATATGTCCGACACCTAACTTTTTCGATTACCGCTAGAACTGACAATGCCATCACTGTGTGCTAATTTGGTATGGCAACTTGAGCTGATATAAGTATGCACCAAGTTCTACGTTGCAGCTGACTGACTATATTTGACAAATTCTTATGTATATATTTGTCGCGCGATAATTGGGAAAGAATGAAGTGATTATCACACATTACTTTCGAAAAAGCTGACATAACTCACATCTTGAATTGATCGGTCAGATATTTTAACTAATAACTGCCAACTCAATGATCTAGGTTAGACGCTAGTTGCGAGAGTTAAACAACCTAGGTTCAATTCCAGCTGACGTCATGGATGTGAACTGCTGGAGGTCCGTAGCTCTGATCTACAGTATGTAACGACTACCGATGCCTTTCTCTATCATACTCTTTAGGTTGAGAGTGCTAAACAAATTTCAGTGTTTGTTGTATGTAACAAAAGGGGGATAGTACAATCATCAATTCTGTTCAAAAGTAACTTAAGTCGTACGTACTAAACAATATCGTTTGAGTAAGAATAACAGTGTGATAGATTTGTTGGTGTATTGAGTGAAAAAATCTGGATAGTATGTAGAAAGAACTACCCCATCGACCTAGATTCCATCGGTTTCTCAGGTCTTATGAATAATTTCCTAAGGACCATACAATTCAGTGACCGCTTCAGTATCCTACTATGGCGCTTATAAACAGTAAACAACTTTATTCTTAACTAGAACAACTCTATCAAGGTGTTATTCTTACTCAAACGATATTATTTAACCCATGCGACTTAATTTACTTCCAAATAGAGTCGTTGATTGTACTATTCATTTCTATTTACATACATATCGTTTCATTTTATGCAGTCAAGCTTTCAGTGCCCTTACGTACTATACATTTTTTTTATATACTACTATTAAAAGTGACAGTAGTTTAAGCATTGGAACAACATTAAACAGGAGGAATTCGACCATTATAATTAAAAATAAAAGCATTCACCACATAAACATTAAGGGTCACACAACTACTACTAACCAGGTTTATCTGGAAGTCGTACAACATTCAATTGGCTGAATACACGACCAGATAAACATTTAGGATGTGGTGGCATACGTGTATCCATATAAGTAGCAAATAAATGCAATAAAATCTATAGAAAATGAAAAAAAAAAACAGAGATTAGTTTATCAATAATCGATATAGTATTATTGAGAGCGTTGTCTTACATTGAACTCATGAATCAATGATTGTTGGACCATCATTAGAAACCTGGAAGCATTGGACGGCCGTTGCGTCCTGCTATGAGACTTATTAGTAGTGAGCATCCATGATTCATGCTGCTAGCAAGATTGGAACCCGAAAATCTGAACTTAGTTAAACTATCGAAAACTGTTACCCCTGCACGTAAACACATCAACTTGATATACTTGAACTATTACGAGTATACCTTAGTCGGAATACCGGAGCGAGGATTGAGAATCCGGCGACACGACATTCTACTCAAATCCGATTATCCCAATCCCCATATTTAGTAAAAATAAGAAGACTTGATATGAAGTAGAACCTATATTCTACAACCATCCAGAAAGTACGAGGTCCAAGTCCAGAGGAGAACCAGGATCCCGAACTAGGGACCCGGGACCGAGCCCTGGTCCTGGTCGTGGTCATAAAACGTCACAGATAATGCGTATATATACATTTTAGTCGAATAGGAAATAGCATCAAAGTCTGTGACATTGACAGTTAAGACGACCAATAGGAAGCAACATTTGGAGTGACATTGATAGTCAGGACAACCAATAAGAAACAACATTGGAGCACGTGACATTGATATCTAGGACGATCATAAAATTGACCAGTCGGAATTAACCAATAGGAATTGACCAATAATTCTCTTAGGATATTGGATGAATATCCTAACAAAAACTCATATACAAAAAAATGAATAAATAATAAGAATGACAAGAGTTTTTTACAATTTAGATGTGCAGCTTTCATTGCACTGCTGAACAACAATAATAACTGATCGGTTTCTGAATCAACAGAACAATTTGTTGATTAATTGTAGACGAATTCTAATTGCTTGTTTCTATCTGAAATGCATGTTAATGATATTTAGAAGAAAAATGAAAGCACAACAACTACAATATCTCGCTCAGAGATCAATCAATCAATCAGCTAAAACGTAGAACTTTGTACGTATGTAGAACAGTTCAAGTTGCTATGCAACATTAGCACACATAAAGATCGCATTGTGAATTCAAATCCCATGGTCGTAGAAGTTGTCCCAGGATATTAGAGCAATAATTCGAAGACACTTATAATCGAATAGGAGTAACCTACGATTCTCATCTATTCTTACTGGCGATGTTTCACATGCATAGAGTAGGACAGAGCGAAGTGCTGCACAGTAAACTTTAGTTAGCAGAGAGATATCTCGTGTACGCTGTATGTAATGTAAGTTGGGAAAAGCCGACCGAGCCTTTTGTAACCGTGCCGAAGTTTCGTCACAAACCAGGCCATCGGCACTGATGAGATTTCCAAAATGAGTGAAGTAGTCAACACACTTAACTATTTGATTGACTATTATTAGTTCAGATGCTGATGACAGCTAATCCTGAAACAACATTTTGCATTTCGAGGAGGAAAATCGTATCCCGAACATGCTTGCATTGTTGCTGAATGTGTTCAGAAGATTCTGTATTAGTTCAGTGTCTTCACCAAACAGAATTATGTCATCGACATATTCGAAGTTGACATGTGAATCTCTCCAGTTCAGTGATCTTAATGTTGACAATAAAAAGGTGAGTGTGCTATTGTCTTGAAGATTATATAGCATATCAACTAGCCTAAGGTCTCCCTGTAGTAGATCGAGTTCATTGCACAAATCATAAACCAGATTTTTTTAAATTTAATGATACGGATTCAAAAATAAAACATTCGATGTTTTATTTCAAATCTAAATTGTTCATGTCTACACTAGTTAATATTTGTATGTGGCAGTAGCTAGTTTCTGAATATACACGTCCGAACAAATATTCTATGGAAGCTCAAAACCATACCAACCAATATACTTTCAATAAGCACCTTTTGAATAGTTTAAGAATTACTTGTTTCACCCCCTAATATGCCCTGGATACAGCTGAGAATGGAAAAGGTTTGCTCTCCTTTTCACACTGCTCTCATATGGCCACGCGTATATAACCCCTGCCACTCAGATACTACTCATCGTCTTTTCGCGTCAGAGTGTTGTTGATCAAAGTGAGAGAACGAAAAGCTAATATCCAACACCTAAACCTGACCAGTAAGTATGGAGGATTGATTTGAAGGAGTTGGAATTTTCTGAGCTCAAAACCAATGGTATACATTCATAGGCTTGAGGATCGAGAGGGAACAAATGGCACACAAACCTATCATTGTCCATGTTGCTGCATTGCCTTGATGATTAGACCAAAGGCTCGACGAGTGGCCATCCTGAGAAAACCACATGGTCCGGTTTTGGCAAAGTATTTATATATTATGTTCAGTTTGTACTTTAAACGACCAATACTGTTGAAAAGCAACAATGAATTCAACGAAGAAATATATATATATATATATATATCATAACTTACTATACTATCAGATGGTAAATGTTCTTTCCATGGCCATTCAGTACTTTTCGATCCAGAATCCCAACGAAACTCTTGAAGACAACTTTCTCTAGCCAATTCTATGCGGAGATGACGATGTTAATAATAGTGGGATAATGAGAAAAATCCAAAAAACCAAACATAAGTCAATGACGGTAAGTTTAAGGAGCGAAAAAAAATTATCAGTAAAAAGAACACATCAATACAACGACAAAAAATAAACCTATGAAGGTCCATATTGCACATCTTCATAATTAGAAGCATCAAAATACAATTGTATCATAAAAACATGATATTATTTTAAACATAAAATTAGTTTAAACTCAATGACTTTATTTATAGTGAGTTACATTATATAGTTAACTTCGCCTGGAGACCTTCTGGGGTTACTGCCAGTACCTAACCCGGATAAAAAAGAGAGGGAGTGGGCATAGGGTTAGCGACCCCATCCCGTAGAAATCCAACTCGCTAACAAATTGCTAACTAGGACAAATTCAATTTAAACTCTGCCCTGGCAGTTGGAAGATCTTCATTTAGAAGAGTTATGACATCTCGTGATGAAAATCGAGTTTCTTCGGAAATCATCAGGCCTATACCACCACCAAAAGAATCATTAATATAGGTACATGGAATGTTCGCATAATGTTGAAGAGTGGGAGAGTCCTTCAAGTTGCTGCAGAAATGAAAAGATACAAATTAGTGGTACTAGGAATCATCAAAATACATTGGATGCAGGTTGGAGAACAAAGACTAGCTTCAGGAGAGATGCTGCTGCTATACTTCAGCTACGAAGCACCCAACTACATCACAAAACAAGTCCTCACTTAGAATCCTTAAGGTTAGAGTGGAAGAGGAAGACTAAAGAAAATTGGAAGCAGAACTTGAAAAGAAGGCCGAGGACAGAGTGGGTTGAAGAATGCTGGTCGGTGGCCTATGCTCCACTGGGGCAGGGGGGGGGTAAAAAGTGTAAAATTACAGTCATAAAATTGGACAATTATTTTACAGAGTAAACCAATCAGCTTTCAATGAATACTTTGTACATTTTAACAATTCATTCATTCATTCATTTCAAAGTAGCCAGTTGGAATGATCAACCTTTTCTCTGGTCAGATCAAAACAATGTTACATATTATTAACCTTGACTCAATTTTCCATATTTCGAGGATGTATGTGAACAAATGTATTTTTAAGAATTTTGTATTGTCACTTCAGGTGTTTAAAAGATGCAAGATCGTATTTTTCAAGCTTGCTCACAAACATACAAATAATAAGCAAGTGTATATAACTCGATCATCTTTTCATCTATTATACTGTGGTGTGTGCTACTTATACGAACGATATAAGTAGTATAATAAGGGACGTGAAAGAAGAAGTCTCACGGTCAGAAGAGGAAAACGAAAAGCAAATAGAGCAAAAGCAAGAAATAAATAGAGCACCGACAGGAAGTAAAGGAAGCAACAGCAGGAATGGAAGAAGGCTCAAAGACGGTGTGTAAATAGAGTGTTTAATGTAATGTTTTCGTTTTTAATTGACTAAGAGTGTAAATTTGCCAAATACAATCTATCGAGCCTGCCTCAGTCTTCTCAATACTACAGTTAACTGTACTTCAATCATATCAAATATTATCTGTGCTTGTAGACCAATCGAATCTACGTAGAAAATGATAAAACTAATAATATTCTGTTCATTGTTTATTCATGACATTTTAAAATAATAATCAAAAATTGTAATATTATAACATTAATGATAGGAAATGTAACATTTTTTTAATGATTGCGTTGAATACAAACTAGTGTTTAGCGCTTTAGTGGCCCGCAATCCGACTCTGTTTTGTACGAACATTCGAGTGTATATGACGGAATAAATCTTCCTTGCAATTTTTGTATATTGTACTTAGGCGAACTCCTGTTTGTGCGACGGTGGCAATACAGTTAGTACAATGTGGATGCATTTATTTCATACAATCATTCACACAGACAGACATGAGAATAAAAAGAGTAGAAGCGAAGTAGAGAAGGCGAGTGAACCAACTTCCATGTGATGAGGAATGACAGATCATGTATAAGTCAGACAAAATGATGTAGACATGTAATGAGCGAAATTAGCAATGCACACATGCACACAAGTAACAACAATCAAGATATAAGTGAATAATCGGTAAGATCGAAAGACTTGTGAATGAGTAACCCGAGAAGAATGGATTGATTAGGTCTTTCAAAGGCCGGGGCAAGTCATGCGGGCTCAACTCATTAGAACACGATACACATTTCTCAAATAAAAGAAAAGAAACTTCCACAGTTGTCATTTTGAAATTTCTAAACTATACTATGCACCAAGTTGGATTTCGAAGTCTGAATATGGATCCCAAAAATTTACTTGAGGAATATCCACACATCACGGCATTGAGTTATAACTCGTTAGAATTAGCATTGCAACTACTAAGGAGTCATTCAGTGGTTGCGGATGTTAAATCCCTAGAACTCACATGAACAATGTCATAATTTTGGATTTTTGTGTTTTCGCGCATACGATGATCAGTTGACCTTGAGATTACAGTTCCCAATCGGAAAATTCCTGACTGTCATTGTTTGATGCATTATTTTAGTACGCTATTTTTGTGACCTTCCCAAGGACGATTCTATCATGTATAAATAAGCTCGATTTGTGTGCTTGTCAACCTCATATTTTCTGGTTGCTTGTAGAATACACTTTCTACGTCTTATCAAGACTTCTTCTTCTACTTAATGGGGGGCCTTGGAACTCTTGGATTAGAGTAGCCTATCGTATCACTAGATCAGTTGTCTTCGCTCTCGTTTACCGACTAAGGTGAACTCGTCGTAATAGCTTCAAGTATATCAATTAACGAGCATAACAAATAGTCTGTGTTTATGTTGTATGTTTTATTCTGTTGCTTCGAACTTTTAATTAAGTAATTAATTAAGTAATATGTTACATAATGATGACAAAAACAATTGAATACATAAAAATATTATAAAGCTAATTTAAAGAGGAACAAACCATTTACCATGCAATCGATTAACTAAATATCCTTGATCTTTCATAAAATCTAGAAATGCTAACAACACTGGTAGTGTTGGTAAATACTGATATTTAAGAGAGGATAATTGTTGAAGTGTAGTTAAACTTGTGGCTAGAATCGAACAGAGAGAGAGAGAAAAAAAAAGTACAATATAAGAATAAAAATATTACGTGAAAAAAAATGTTCTAAAGTAATTTTACACAGTAGGTTTGAACCTTGTTACAGTTATCCATCCAGTGTCAGTCAGCTACAAAGTGGAACTTCGTACGTACGTACGTACATCAGTTCAAGTGGTCATAGTACATTAGCACAGAAACCGAATAATCAATGCAAAACCCCATAGAAGTTGAGGTAGTAAGAAATATTAATGGTAATGAAGAAGATTAGGGTTTGCAAATATCATTTAAGAAGTATAATTCAGTGAAATAAATTTAGAGAGAGAAAGATAGAGGCAGCGACGGATTAAGACAGACAGGAAGGATTTGATTATGAGCGATTTGGTCTCGAATGCTGTTACGGGTATGAGGGCGGTTGTCACTTCCCGGTTGCCCACACCGTGGAAGGGTGTTTCTTGAGGAACCTGTAAAGGAAGGTAGATTAGTGTTGGTCTTGGAGACCTGGGAGCGTGACCGCAGAGTCCAAGGGACAACTGCTTGAGGCCGGTCACGCACGGCCATTTTATGAGAGGTTTTTTGAGTATTAGCTCCGTTCTTAAAAGCTCTCAGTGGGCACCCTTACCACCGGAGACGGAAATCCATGAGGTAGGGTGAGGTGTGACATTTTCAGGGCCCAACTTTTCTAACCCTTCCTTCCTCGTGAGAAGGCAGCATCGCTGCAGATGCTGGTTGTTTGAGGGGAACACCTTAATACTGTCACACCCCTCTGCAGTCATCAGTACAACTTCGCCCTCAGACCTTGGGTAGCTGCTTTTAGTCTCACCGTTCTGCAATCGACCTGCCTGGTATGGTAGAATCTTCAGGAACATATGTTCCGGCCAGTATAGCTCGGTTGGGTCATGACGATAGGCAAGCCCGACCACCACGTCAAGGTGGCAGCTACGGTCGGGGACGGATTAAGAAGTTTAGAATTTGAGAGACCGCAAAGAGTGGATGCACCTGCGCCATTGCAAAGGGTTTTGAGTCATGTCATTCTGGGTCTCTAACCATCGACTACTATCATCTCGCGGACCGCAAGCAAGGCAGTTGACACCTACCGACATGACTTAGTGCACTTCTCAGTGACTTCATGGATTTCTGACATGTTTTTGGTCTGGTCGCCCCTAGCTTCCTTCCAACCGATTCCTCCGTCGCAAAACATAACTTGACGAGGCAGTCAGTGGTTAGGTATACGTAACATAAATTATTCTATATTTTTCTACCACCAACTACGATGATTTATACCTATCCAGTGATTACACTTTTATTATGCTGGAGTTTCTTAATCTGTATTGAAGACGATTGTAATTTCATTCAAATACATTATTTCTCGGTTTCATTTATTTTTCTATTGTATTTACCAATACACTTTCAAAGTAAGATTTGTCTTTTGGATAAACCGACGTTAAGTAAAATAAGGGATCATTGTACCTAGAGTATCCGAACCTAAGCGAATAGGTTTTTGAAGTATAGACAAGTCGTATTGAACAAAAAAAATGCATGTGTACATCTGTACTACTGAATTCATCTGTGGTATCGAGAATACAGCCTAGCACACATATAGAGAAAAATCCACTCATGAATCAACTTAAATTGTGAAACTACATCCAACACAATAAGATTAAATTAGTAATATGAATATCTAACAAGCTGATACGATAGTAATCTCAATAAAATGTGGAAGAATATTGTTGCAAAAGCGATGAATTCAATGAACAGAATGTATGAAGGTATATTTAAGCTGAAAGATAACAACTTAATGTAAATAAACTACTATAACAGATATTCTAAATCAAGTTACCTCATGTTTCTAACTAATACACGGACTTCAACTAGATATTCTGAACTTACTAGCACAGTTAAATCCACTAGTCAATCATTTCGTACAGTGGTAGTGTTAGTGACGTTAAATCCCCAGAACTCACTTGATAAATGCCCTAATTTTGGATTTTATGCTTTCGCTCATGGGATGATCAGTTGACCTTGAAATTATACGCTATTGTTGTGGCTCTCGCAAGGACGTTTCTATCATCAGCCTCATATTTTCTGGGTGCTTGTAGAATACACTATTCTACGCCTTATCAAGACTTCTTCCTCTACTTATTGGGGCCTTGGAACTCTTGGATTAGAGTAGCCTATCGTGTCACTAGATAATTTGTCTTCGTTCTCGTTAACTGACTAAGGTGAACTCGCAATAGCATTCAAGCATATCAACTGGTGACGAGCGTAACAGGTAGTTAGTTGCCTTTTCTTAGTTTCATTACCTTCGATTTTTTTCTCATCTAATATTATCTTAGACATGAAATGGTTGACGTAGATGCTGATAACAATAATAAATTTGTCATCATCATTATAAAAGAAAGGAACTAATCCGAACAGAATATTCAATTGAAATAAATTAATAATTTACTAAATACTACAGACTAAATAACAATAGTAAAGTTACAGTATATATACACTGAATAAAAAAAACTCGAATCTATACAGAAAAAAACTTACAACCAATAAGAGTTTTATCTCCACCGGCTTCTTCAAGATTTTTATTGATTGCGTCAATTTCATTGACAATACGACGTATAATTGTACCATGAAGCCACTGAAATAATTCAAAATAATGAGTTTTTATTAATGCTTTGTACAACAAGTATCATTCATGATTAGAAAGTTTATGTTAAGATATTTAACAAATATCCTACGAAGAATTATTGTATCAGTGTAAATTCTATTGGTTGATTCCTATTGATCAATAGTATGGTCGTCCTAACTATCAATGTTATCTCCTATTGATCGTAATAATTGTCAGTCACACTTTAAATGATGTTTCCCATTGGACGTCCTAACTATCAATGTCACAGACCTCAATGTTGTTTCTTATTCGACCTAACTGTATAAATACGCATTATCTGTAACGTTTTATGACCCGCACCCGAAACAGGAGCTCCAGATTCTCTTCTGGACTCGGACCTCGTACTTTCTGGATGGTTCTGGAATACAGGTTCTACTTCATATCGAGTTTTCTTATTCTTTCACCCAATGGGGGTTGGGATACTCGGATTAGAGTAGTATGTCATGTCGCCGGATCCTCGTTTTCCGACTAAGGTAAACTCGTAATAGTTCAAGCATATCAAATTCACATGTTTACATGCATGCGTAACAGTTTAACACAGAAGTTATCGACATATAACCGAAACATTGAATAAGTATTCAGTGGTAGATAGTGCTTAATTTTTTCTGTACGAAATAATTGTTTTTTTCAAAATTTAAGTGAAATTACATACCTTACGAAGATTTAGAGTCCAACGGTCTAAATTGCTTTTGCTAACTTGATTTTCCATCCAATACTGTAAATAGAAAAAAAATAGGTGAGAGAATACTGAAATATTTCAGATAGAATATCAAGATTTTAGCTTTAAAAAAAAAGTATTTTACAGTACATAACATGTCAAAGAAATAACAGTCAGTCGATTAGTCAGCTACAACGTAGAACTTCTTACGTGCGTACATCAGTTCAAGTTGTCATATCACATTAGCACACAAAGATGGAATTGTCAATTTAAATCTCATAGTTGTAAAAGTAGTAGTAAAAGTATTAGTAGCGATGAAGAAGATTAAGGCTTAAAGATATGACCCAAGAAGTACAATACAGTGAAATAAGCTTCAAAAGAGATAAAAAGTCATGAGGATTTCAGAAGATTAGCAAATAAATAACAATGATAATATAAATGTTTTATGGCGATGACTGATCATCATCATCATCATCATCATCATCAACAGCAACGTAGAACTTTGTACGTAAGTACAGCAGTTCAAGTTGCAATACCACATTAGCACAGAGACATACATCAATCACCCGGGATTCCAGAGCTCTACCTAATGAAGCCTGTTGCCCTATTTGGAATAAGGTTCGAACATTAAAAGACCCAATATATAATTTAGTACGGGGTTTCAAGCGACCGGGAATAAAGTTTCGTGAGCTTATACCGTTTGCTCCACAACCTGTGTCACTTATGGCGTAGTCGAGATATCCGTTTGCTGACTAAAGGACGAGTGTACTGCGCAGTGGTTCGCTCCGTCTTACTTTATGGCTGTGAAACATGGCCAGTAAGAGTAGAAGATATTCGTATCTTATCAGTATTCGATCATAGGTATCTTTGTAGCATTGCTCGTATATCCTGGGACACCTGAGTGAGCAACGCTGTTATTAGGAAACGGGTGCTAGATAAGGGTGGCAGATCAATAGTATTGAAACTTCATCAGTTGAGATGGTTGGGACATGTGTTGCGTATGCCCAACCACCGACTGCCTCGTCGAGCCTTGTTTTGTAGTGTAGGAATAGGTTGGAAGAAAGCTAGGGGCGGCCAAACCAAAACCACGGCACAAATCCATGAAGTCACTGACTAGTGGACTGAGCCATGTCGGTAATTGTCGACTACCTGGTTGGGGTCCGCGAGATGATAATAATCGATGGTTAGAGACCTTGAATGACATGGCTCAAAATCGTTCGCAATGGCGCCGGTGCATTTATTCTTTGTGTTCTCTCAAACGCTAATCTTCTGGATTCTTCAACACCTCTAGTTTCGACTCTCTTAACTTTTCTCACTGAATCATGCTTCTTGAATATCTAATCCTAACCTCTCCGATCACTTCTAATTCCCTTACTACTTCTTCTACTATTGGATTTGAATTGACGATTACTTCTCTGTGCTGATGTGGTATGGCAACATGAACTGATGTACATACGTACAAAGTTCTACGTTGCATCTGACTGACTGACCGTTTGCTTCAGATGGCAATGACTGAGTGCTAAAATACTTAGATTTTTTAACCAATGTATCATTGGCTTTGTGGGGAAGCATTTGCTCGAGTTTTGTCGCTAATATTTTCCCAATCGTTTATGATTGATGTTGTTAAATGACATAATATAAATAATACAACTCATTCAATAAATTCAACTTTTGTGTAATTGGTCATGAGTTAGTGTTATACAGAGTGTACACAAAAACTAGTGATGCTTTCTAGTCACTTCGAAAGAAGGCGGAGTAGAGTTCGAAAACATGCAATTTATTCAATAAAATCTGATTATTTTAAATACTAAACTTCACTTTTTCTAGAATGATCTAAGCACATTAGTTTTTCTCATATATATTCACTCAAATAAAAAAATGTTTACCTCATCTTCTGAACGTTCATTGAATTCACGATCATTTTTCCCAGAATCAGGTGTTATAGTATTTGGAATAAAAGCTGGTCCAGATAAAGATTTTTGTGAATCATTCAAATATTGTTGACATAGATTAATAGGTTGAATATAAGCAGCTTGATATTGATATCGAGGTGATGTTCCTGATGTTAAAAATGGAGAGGACCAAGTGACAGAACGATGCAAACTACCTGAACCTTGTCCATGTGTCTCTCCACTACCTAACGGTGGCAGAGTTGAACCAATTCCAGAGTTCACAATTGGACTTAGAGCCAAATCCAAAAGGGAAACTGATATTCAAAAGGGAAGTATTTGAAAAGTTTACTTTAAAGTGATTAATTTGAGTAAAATAGATGGAAAGAATATGCATTAACGAGTTATATGTATATACTATGTACTACTAGGAAAAGAATTATTTTTGGTGAAGATCGTTACCCATAACATTCCTGTAGGTACTAAACGACCTTCATTCATATAAATATTTACTAATCACATATACTGGTATGATTCTGAAAATGAGATTGCGAAAGATGTAATGGGAAAGAAAAGCCAGTAGAGCAGCTTACAATGGTCGGAAAATGGGATATTAATTGCGGAAATAAAAACTGGAAATAAAATAGTGAGGAAATTCTTTTAACCAGCTTATGTATTACAGTGACGATTGAGTCAGTCAGTCAGATGCTACGTAGAACTTCGTACTTAAGTACATCAGTTCATGTCGCCATACCACATTAGCACAGAGATATAAATCCAATAGTAGAAGAGGTAGTAAAGGTATTAGAAGTAATCGGAGAGGTTAGGATTAGAAGATACTATTCAAGAAATATGATTCAGTGAGAAAAGTTTAGAAAGTCAAAACTAGAGGTGTTGAAGAACCCAGAAGATTAGAGTTTGAGAGAACACAAAGAATAAATGCACCGGCGCCATTGCAAACGATTTTCAGCCATGTCATTCAGGGTATCTAACAATCGATAATTATCATCTCGCTGACCCCAACCAGGTAGTCGACAATTACCGACATGGCTAAGTCCACTCGTCAATGATTTCATGGATTTCTGCCATGTTTTGGTTTGGCCGCCCCTAACTTTCTTCCAACCTACTCCTACACTACAAAACAAAGCTCTTCAAGGCAGTCGGTGGTTAGGCGATTCGAACCAATAGGATAAACTGTTATAATGGATAATCAGTCAGAATAAAAAACGGTAGTCTCCTTGAATGTATTTTTTGTCTGACCACTAATACGTTATTATTTCAAAACAAATATTTGCATGAAAGGGAAAGTTAATATTCATGCGTCAACTAATCAATGGATTTGTGTGGGCTGACATACTCTGCCATTTATTCTTTCTGTTCTCTCAAATCCTAATCTTCTGGATTCTTCAATCCCTCTAGTTTTGTCTTTCGAAACTTATCTCACTGAATCATACTTCTTGTATAATATCTTCTAATCCTAACCTCACCGATTACTTCTAATACCTCTACTACCTCTTCTACTATTGGATTTGAATTGACAATTTATATCTCTGTGATGATAAGGTATGGATGGCAACATGAACTGAGGTACTTACGTACGAAGTTCTACGTTGCATCTGACTGACCGACTGACTGACATACTCTGCGGGTGCCTGAATAAAGTCAGGTAGATTTCTCAAGGGGCAACCTACAAGTCTAAACCACAAGGCAGTGGATTAACGTCAGATGCAGTTAAATGGTATACGGTGACTAATAATAAGTTCATAAGCCATTTGTTTCCTCAGGATTTTGGAATCAATTAGCACTATTGGTTGAGAACCAGGGTTTTCCAATTCCCAAAGTGGATCTTTCGTACGCACGCTTGCGTATCGGACATTTGCTTTTCGTCTTCGCAATTTGGTAAAAAGCACCCCGACGCGAGAAGGTAATGAGTGGGAATTGCATGGCAGTGGTTATATACACGTGGCCATATGAAAGCATTTGGGGAAGAACCAACTCTCCCTATCCTCAGCTGTATTTAAGGGTTATTATGGTATGGCAACATGAACTTATGTACATACGTACGAAGTTCTACGTTGCAACTGACTGACTGACTGAAGGGTTATTATGTGAATGACATCCATTCATTCTTATTCCCCTAACCCATCTGAAGTGACGCAGCAAGGAAGGTGAGTTATACACCGTCAATCTTTCAAAAAATATTACCCTTTTTGAAATACCCAGTAATTTACAGTGATCGTCAAAATAAAAATGGTTAACTTTTTTCGGGCTCCTTGAAAACATATTTAGTGGATTTCGAAAGCCATTGTCAGCAGTAGTTTCGAACAAGATACCAGTAATTACATTGTTACTGTAGCAGATGAGAAGACGAAAATTCCAGTGTGATAAGCATGTAACTGCAAATGAACACGATAACGGTGTTTCTGATAACAAAAATTCTGTCCAATCAATGTATTGTAACACAAAACTGTTAGTGACAGCTTAGTCGAATGCTACTTTAGTGAACGATTACAATTCACATTACTAAGATTAAACACTTACGATTTTCTTGAACCACCGGACTTCCCGAAACTCGAAGAGATCCACAATGTGTCTGTGGTAAATTACTATAGGACTGATTGTGTTGAGACGATGTACCAACGCCTGACTGTTTCCAAATGGGTTGATTATCATTCATAGATTGTGAGATACCAATATCACTATAGCCAATTGCTGATCTAGCAGGAGATTCAGTGGTGATTTCAAAAGATGAGTTTCCAAAGGTAGCCACGCAAGAACTAATATCTGAAGTATCCTTTAATAAACTGGAGCAGAACATAGAAGGACCAACGAGTGACTTGTTTAGCGGCGATGAGTGAAATCCTAAAGTTGATTGATCTTCAAGTATTAGTAGTAAAATGAGACTTACTGTGAGAATCGCTAGTAATCATTTTTTGGATCAACGTTGAACTGATGATAACAAATATATGATATGAAATGCATACAGTAAGAAGAGTAAAAGACGACAGAACTGCATGTGAATAAAATATATACAATGACATACTTAACTTTTCGTACGAAGACATCCATCCCACAGGAAACGAGAACAAACGAAAAACTGGTTGAATATAACTGAAAAGTGCTATCTACCAGCAAAATCAACTTACAATTCTATAAGTACACACATTCCTACTAGCACATCAACTGACAGCCACTTGTAAGCGTTATTTAATGACCTGATTCTTGCCTCAGTCTTGCAACGACGTTCGATTATCGAACTAGTCCACACTTGAGTAGACATGTGATAGTTTGGTGTGATGTTCTGCAGCAAGAAAATGCTTAACCTCTGAAGGTTAATCTAGAATATTGAATATTTGAACAATAAAAAATTTCTGCTGTAATTATCAAAAAATAATTATTGATTATAAGATGATAAACAATATAATATACAGATGAGCGGACACTAGCGTTGGTTTCTGAAATCCGCTGTAATTCGAATGTATTAAGATCAATATATAGTATTAGCTAATTGATGCAAAACGCCTAGGATATTATGAAATCTTCCCAAAAACAATAAAAGGCTTCGTGGTTCCCCTAATGTGTTGTAATCTGATTCTTCAATGATAAATAGGTTCCTGGGATTTCCTGAAAACAAGAAGAAACTGGGGTTTTCGCAATGCAGTTCTATTGCCTTTCTCTGGCTTAGTTTAAAATTTTAGGAAATTCTAGGTTTTACTCGAATACAGTGAAAATTTCATCGAAGAACCCCAGATCCGAGAAAATATTCGGGTTTCCAGTCGCATGTACCCAAAGTTCACGATTCGATGTTTCCTATAACTGACCTAACTATTACGCGAACTGGGAGATTGAGTATGTAATTTGAAACGATCTTAAGCCTTGAGGCCTCTTTGCGTTGAGATTTTGAGTGTCTGGTTTTTCTAATTTTTAAACATTAAGAGTCCTAGTTAATATTAAAAAAGGTACATAGGCATGTTTGATGAGCTTGTATATCCGTTGTTTCAATTGTCAATTAAGAAATAAATTGAGCTTGAAATGTTCAGATGTCAAGATAGGCCTGAATAGCAAAATAAAGCCTACCACGTGATATTGGAGAAATGTAGCTAACTTTCAAACGCAACCGCGCTTTCTCTAGATGACCTTGGAAGCGTACAAGTCGAAAATCGCGCTAGACCTAAAATCATTTTTTAAGTATTTGAATGACAGTCAGATGAACGTTATCTCCTATCTTCGCGTCTTCAATCAAGTCTATTGGGTAAAGAGTTATTACAAAAACTGTCTAATTCTAGTGGATGGTTAGTTAAATCTATCATGGTTCCTTGATAGCATCCGACTCTGTTGACTTCGTTAAATAGCGTTGACGACTTGCTTTTTGCTTGCTTCATTAATGACACGAGCCTAGAACTCTATCAAAATACTCAAACATATAGTACTAAATACTAATCCATCTGTAATCAGAAAGCCATCATGTCCTATGTTTGTGTATTGGTAGAAAACCCTCCGAAATAAGTGGTTCTCTTAGTCTTCCACGTTTATAGAAACCTGACGAGTTTTAGTTACCAAACCCGGATAAGGCTATCAAGTCACCAGATGGCCACGAGGTAGGACGTGCCATGCATCTCCCTCCATCAACTTGTTCACTCATTACGCAACATCCCAAACATCATTGAAAGATATCGTCAATCCCCCTCATTGATGACTTCTGCTTTGAAAAAAGCATTGTTCGACCATGAATATTCGTGACATCCTCATATAAATTGAGATAAGCGATTTCCTGGATAAACTGGAGATTATGAGTAACATTTTGTGTGCTAGTAAAGAAGCATACTGATTATGTCACCTTACAAAAGTCTGAGGAATTGTTAGTAGGTCATAAACGACTATCTGGTCCGAAAATTTAAACGTTTCAACTTCAGGCCTGCACATTGTATCAGAATGCAGGTGTTTAACCCCAGTGAGTTAACATTTAGCTTTGACAATTCACGATGCGTCACAGCGTCTGTTTTCATTTCAGTAAATTTATTTCAGCAAAGTAATTTTGAATCCGGACTTTTTGTTGAGTGCATTAGTTTTCTTCTGCTCAATGCGCCTTTAGACTTGAAAGTTTGGGGTATACCATTTTCTCGTGATCAGATTTGTCTTAACGAGCTTTCGTGAATGGCCCATTTGAAAAATTCTGTTTGATGATTATGGAACACATAAGCAGCCATCGACATACTTTGGATGCCTCAATCGAAAACTGAATATAGTACAATAAGGGTAAATGATGTTGTCAGGAAGTTTGCTCGAATCTAAACTCTTCACTTTTCGAAATGTTTGGAAAATCGGATCCCATTACTGAGGCTTGAACTCAAAGAGCTTGCTATCTAAGCCGTTGAAATGGGTAAGGCTGCCTAAAAGTATATGATACAGCGCAACCGAAATCATCCCAATAATGTACGCACTGTCGATAAACAAATTCGTGTGGAGTCACCACAAATAAGCTAGTGTTACTGTGCTTTCATAGAACAATGTGCAACCGTTTACGCACCCTGTCTTACTGAAAATACGAATATAGCAAAATGTCCAATGTAGGATTTAATTTGTCCTACAGATGTAATTCTAAAAACGTAAACGCAAATACCGCCGATGACAAAATCCAGAGTGAAACTATAGTTAACAGAAGACAACTTGGTTTTAAACTTTATCTGCTTCTAAACAAAAAGAAACGATTAAATTAGTACAATAAATAAGGAAATCACAATTATCAAGCAGGATGAGCAACGTACAGGACAGTATAGCGTGTCTTTAGAAAATGAATAAAAAACATGAGTCACAGCAATATAAATAAAATAATAACATCCTTCAATCGATAGACCATTCACAACAAAGAAAGGTTACAGACCGGTCAGACTATATATAGCATGGTGAGCGCTTAACCAATCTGATTGGTTAGTTATGGCATAACTACAATTAGTTATGGAAATAACTAACACTCCCCCCGAAGCGGTCACCACGTCCAGACCTCATCTTCTACTCTCGGGAAACTCACGTCCTTTAAATAGGACCAGGATGCCATTTGACGCGCCGTTGGTACAGTTCTGTGAACTGCCGGTAGTTTTCTGACTGTCAATACCTTCTGGATCCTAACAGATAATGAGAAGTCTATAGCGTGCAACTCTACATCTACCTCTTTAGATACCAATGACGATTCGTTATTTATAGTCTTTAAAGACACTGTTCTCGGCTTTCCCTCGAGGCCTAAATTATCAGCTAGATCTTCTACTATTAGAGAGGTGTCTGACCCACTATCTAGAAAGGCGCACGTCCGCATAATTTTCTCACCGTTTTTTATCCACACAGGAACTACTGCAAATGCCACAGGCCTCTGTATGCCCTTCCTCTGTAAAAATCTGAGAATTAATGCGGGCATCACTAATAATATCTCTTCGTTCTTCCCGCTTCTCATGTAACAGAGTATGATGTCTGCTGCCACGTCCCTCAACAATACATGACCTTGGCGATCGACAATTCTTTGCTATATGGTTTGGTTTCAGACAATTATTACATAATTTATGCTTGAGGACGAATTCTCTCCTTTCTTTAACATTCTTGTTTTTAAACTTCTGGCACTGATCTAAGAGGTGATTGCTTGAGCAATCTGGACAGGGTGAATTATATAAGGAAGTATTGCTGTCATTAACGCTTGCATGTGCTACCGTCTTTATGTTGTAACTTGCGGCAGTTTTCCCCTTTAAAGCACCAAAACCTCTTTTGTCAACATTATCGCTGCGGTTGACAAGCAGGACGTATCTAGTGTTAGCTATATCCGACTGTTCTTTAACAAATTCACAGGGGTCATTGAATGAAGGCTCTCTACCCGTCTTGAGATTTCGACATGCTACTTTAACCCATTCTCTCTGTAGGTGTGGCGGAAGTTTTAAAAACATGCTTTCGATGGTTCTCGTAGAATTAAGATCGGACAGGTAGTTCATTCGTGTGAGCGTAAGCTCAAAGATATACATCTCACGAGCTAGCCTTCTTAAACTATTTGAGTCGGTCTCTTTAATAGCAGGGAAGATCAACATCTTGTCGATAAATGCATGGGCAACTACGTGTTTCTTTCCGAATGCTTCCTCAAGAAGCTCTAACGCTTTACAATTAACTTCTCCCAGTTGAAGCAATGTGCAATGAACATTTGTAGCTTTAGCTTCACCATCACAATATTGAATCAAGTAGTTTAATTTAGATCGAGGTCCGACGCTTTCATCAAAACAATCCTCGAAATTTCGTATGAAACTCCAGTAGTTCATAGGATTACCATCGAACCTTATGATTTCTCGCTTGGGTAGGTCTAAAGCTTTGGATATCATTCCTATCCAGCCCTTTCCTGCACTATCAGCTGTACGTGAATCGGATGTAGATTCGACCGACATAAACTTTTCATCCTGGATTTGGTTACAATATTCTCTTCCTCTTTGCCGTAACCGTTCTAACTCAATTACCTTTTCTATATGAGCTAAACGTACTTTAGCTAATTCTAAATTTATCAAAGGATCCATTCGGAAGCTATTTCTTCCAGACTGGTCTTCGCTATGAGTTTCTGAATAGTGTGGAGACAATTCAGGAATCTGATCAGTCTTATGATCCTCCGTAGACATTTGAAGATATTCGATATATGAACTTCTAATGAGTACTGTCCGAAACTATGTAGGATTTAATTTGTCCTACAGAAGTAATTCTAAAAACGTAAACGCGAATACCGCCGATGACAGAATCCAGAGTGAAACTATAGTTAACAGAAGACAATTTGGTTTTAAACTTTATCTGTTTCTAAACAAAAAGAAACGATTAAATTAGTACAATAAATAAGGAAATTACAATTATCAAGCAAGATGAGCAAACGTACCGGACAGTATAGCGTGTCTTTAGAAAATGAATAAAAACATGAGTCACAGCAATATAAATAAAATAATAACATCCTTCAATCGATAGACCATTCACAACAAAGAAAGGTTACAGACCGGCCAGAATAAATATAGCATGATGAGCGATTAACCAATCTGATTGGTTAGTTATGGCATAACTACAATTAGTTATGGAAATAACTAACATCCATTCTCTTATCCTACATACGTTACATCGTAATAACACATCGTTGCGATAGTTTGCACACTGTCTAGGAGTCGTTGAAAGACTGCAGTCGCAAACAAAGAGCATCTCGGTATTGGCATTTGTAGTAGCCCCTTAGTTCTCTCTTCTTGGAATCCGCCGTAGAAACGTATACATTGGATATTTAAATAGGTCCCGGGACTTCAGATCGCTAACTCGACTCGTATTGGCTCATCCATGCGTTGTTGGCTGTGGTTATTGTAGACCAGCAAGAAAACCACTACAATATATGCGAAAACTAAAGTTATTTAACTTTACGATAACTGCACTACGAGGTATTTAGTGCATAGAGTTCATCCTTAAAATGTAGCATTCACATGACGCATGGATTTTATGTGATCTATCTCCGTTCTAATCCAATAATCGTGATTTCATGTACTAACGTACTGTTGTCCTGATAGCTCAGCAGAGCTTCTTTTTTAAAGCCTCTATCAAACCAGCAGTCCAGTTTATTGGAGATAATATCGCAATGTTTGTAAAGGTTTGATCTTGCCTGTAAACAGACAATCGATCGAAAAATAATTATTATATCGACTACTGAGTTGAACATATTGTCCGCGATACACTTTCTACAAGAAGTCTCAGGTATACAGGCAAGTAAGTCATTAACATAGTCATAAAATGTGGTGCTTAAGTATGATCTAGCTAATCATTATATATAAAGTAAGTCTAATCCAATCAAATAAACAGCATAACTAGAACATGTACCTGGGATCTTTATTGTTTGACAATAAGTATCATAAACCAAATCACAATTCGTCAACAGCGCATTGACAAGCCGTGTGGTTTGGTGATTTGTCGAAAAATTGAATTCTTGAATACACACAATGTTTCATTGCACAAATTCCTTCCAGATACATAACCAAGATTCTTAATTCATATGAAAGGGAAATGAAATCCAGAACCATAAATTCTGATGAATTCAATAACTAGATAACTATCATTCATATAGAAGTAGAAAAATTAAAATCAAGTTTTTATTTTTGCTCTTTGTTCACGAATGTTTCTATTAAGAAGGCTTTATCTGAGGAATAACTGTCTAGGTAGTTTAGATACGCGCCTTCCTCAGTTGAAAGAAATCAAAACAAGTGGTTTGGGTAAATGACAGTTCTAATATTCATCCCTGCTGGATAGATCAGATTTGGTTGCTTTATAACACAGTGTATAATATTCTGGAAGGGTGCTTCAAACCACAATCAAAGTGCACAATTCCAGCCAAGGCAAGCAATACAATCAAAGGAGGAACATACCAATATGGCTGCCGTCAAGACTAAGTATCAGCTAAAACAACATCAATGCATTTCAGAGAGAAACATAGAAACTCAGTGAAGACAAAAGAAATAGAAACTATAATAAAACACAAATGTTATCATTTCAAATGGAATCGAACAGACTAACAAAATGTACAACTGAAAGAATCATTGAGAACAAATTACAAATGTATACACGAAGGAATTTTCTCAGGCAAAACCTTCGAAAATCGATCTTACAGTCTATTGTACACAATCACTTGAATTCTGGCAATGAACTAAAGCAACCACATTCACTAGATCGCTCATTTATCTCTGAATCTGTGCATACATTTGTTTAGAATTTACAGTTTCACATAGTTAAGGTGTTGCAACAACTTATATTTACCAATTCTAACCATGAATCTAACTAAAAAATAATCAAAATTAATTTTAAAAAACACGTACACACATACAAAAGGTTCAGTACATTATGAATGAGTATTACCACTTGATTTGATTACATTTTCAAAAAGTTTCACAGCATCTATTGCAGTACCCCAACTTAATGCAACTCCCATTGAACCATGTCCATAATTATGTATAATTGGCAAAGGTTTACAGACAATTTCCGGTCGATACCATTCAATCTTATTGTAGTTAGTTTATATTCAACAAAAAAAAGTAAGGAATAGAGAACACATTTATGTAGTTTAAGACAATGAACTTGTTAAAACAATATAGCTAATGTTATTATATACATCGTATTGCATAACGATAGTAAGAGATGCAGCCCAACTTGATGCAAGTGGGTTCAAACACACACGCACACATCGCGTTTTCCACTTAGCCAGATTAGCTAGTGGTGGTTGTCTGATACTTAAGATAGCTATTAGTCGGTTTATGTGCATACTATGCGGATTACTTCGAAATAGCCATTGAGTCACAAGAGATGGTATTGTTGTAGCTAAAGTGATACTGATCAACTGCGCTCTTCAACATCAATGCGAAGATTCAAACAACCAATAAGAATGAAGTAAAACTTCGTATGGTGTCTGACAAATATGTAAAACTGTGATTGGTGAATTAACAAACTATGGCAGTTATAAAAGGTCAAAAAGAGTCAAAGAAATGGTGGAGTTGTCTATCGACACATCTGACAATTCTTCTGATTAGAATTTTAACGCATAAATTTTCAAACATATCAGGGAATGTGACCTTTAGCATAATCGGATAACCACTATATTGGTGAAAGTTTATCCTACAGAAAATAAAAATATTCCTGAAATTTTTATTTACTCTAATTACCCTATGTTTATTTGAACCTTTATTTAAGTGACTTTTATTAATTTCCATATAAAATGCCCCTGACAATTGTGACATGTATGACCAGATTGTTTTAAATGCATAACGCAAATATATTACGTTTTTCAGATCAATTAAGTCTTCTCATTTATGAATGGGACTAATTGAAATTGAATCTAATTTGTTAAGATTTTCATACATTTTCGTATTGCACAACTCAATTCAGTACTAACCTGTCAAAGCTTGGATATTGATTAGGTTACTAAATAAATTACTCAGTCATTTATACATTGAAAAGCTTTAGTAAAATTGTTTTATCACGCTTTAAAAACTCACTTCTAATCGTATAGATGGTCTGAATGGTCGTAATCCTGTCCATTCTTCAACTATTGTTGATTTTCCTAATCCTCCATGCCAAGTATTATCGATTCTTTGAAGAATATCTTTTGTATGTTCATGTGATACCATAGTATCTTCAATTGTTATAGGTCTGTTTACAACTGCAGTTAAAAATTCACGAAATCCACCAAGAATGACACTTTCTTTTCCTGTATAACAATATGTATCATCACGCTGACAAAAACACAAACAATATTTTTGAGATGTAAATTTTTGTCTCTTCAAGTTATGAATAATTTAAATCGCTTGTTCAAACACAAACAGTTACAACAGGTTACTGCTAATATTTGAGTTTACTGACTCGACGAGCTATGTTTTGTGGTGTAGGAGAAGGTTGGAAGAAAGCTAGGGGCGGCCAGACCAAAACATGGCCTAAATCCATGAAGTCACTGACTAGTGGACAGAGTCATGTTGATAGATGTAGACTACTTGGTTGGAGTCCGCGAGACGATAGTCACCGATGGTTAGAGACCTTGAACGACATGGATCAAAATCGTTTGCAATGGCGCAAGTGCATCCATTCGTTGTGCTCTCTCAAATCCTAATCTTCTGGAATCGTCAGCACCTCTATCTTTGTCTCTCTAACCTTATCTCACTGAATTATACTTCTTGAATAATATCTTCGAACCCTAGTCTCCATCATTACCATTAATACTTCTACTATCTTTATCACTATGGGATTTGATTTGACATTTGCGTCTCTGAGCTGATATGGTATGGCAACATGAACTTATGTACACACGTACGAAGTTCTACGTTGCAACTGACTGACTGAATATTTGAGTTTATCTTAATTTGCGTTGTAGTGTTGTGGAGATTGTTGAGTTACTTTAAAATCCTGAATCGATTAATGTTGGACTACTATTAGAAAGAAAGCTGGAAGCACTAGACAGCCATTTCGTCCGAGTATGAGACTCATCAGTAGTGTGCATCCACTACTCCTTTCAATAGAAAGATTCGAACTCAAGACCTTCGGTCTTGCGCGCGAATGTTTCATCCGTGGTCCATTGAACCGGCATTCAACAATGTTAATGTCTTACTCCGACCGATCTAAGGAATTTGCACAACCTCACACATTGTGTTTGGTAGTTAATTACTGCCTACACCCATTCTCCAATCAGATTTTTACAAAAGTAACAATAACTACACATACTACTTAAAAAAGTAGATCACTATTTCAAAACAAATATTGAATAAGTGCATGAATGAATGATGACATAAGTAATCAGTTTAAACTTAACTATTTATCACGAATCAATAGATTTCTTTTCGGTTTTTGGGCTAATCAACGAGATATATATATTGGCAATCCAACTGTGGTCAAGATCTCTAAACAGTGTAACATGTGACATTAGTAAGAATCTTTAGGGAGAAAATCAATGCCTTTGAAATAATAGACTTTCAGTTAATTACCGTTTTTAAAACTCAATAACAGTATATTATTAAACTTCATATCAGTAATCATATTGTGGTGCGAGCTACTTATAAGTAGTATATGACGTGAGTGTCAACGTAATGTCTGGCAGCAGAAGATGGGGGAAGATCAAGAAAGGAAGAGTTATAAAACAATGGAATTTGTATGAAACGCATGAATAGTGAGTGACAATGGATTGATGTTTGGCAACAGGAACAGTCCAGTTCGATATGATGAACTGATATTTTGCAAATGAACGATTTACGATATGGTTTTCCAATTTTACTGAGTAACTCTGTAATTTTCGTTAAATACAATTCGGTTGCCCCACCTGTGTTCCCGTTCACTACAATATCTATCCAAATATAATAGTTGAAAATAGATTGTTGTTTTCGCTAGATTCAATTGTCTAAAATTATCCAATAACTTTATCCTACATTTTAAAAAAATAGTTCAAAAAATCCTAACAATGCATTTTATATATTTGAAAGATTTTTCTGAAGATTGATTTCAATTTTAGGCATCATTCATCATGGTTAAATTCGAAAACCTTGAGACATTAACAACTGTTTCATAAAAGTCTAGGATCATACTGAGATGTAAATTCATGATCACATTTTTTTCGGATGGAAACTTGGAGAACCACAAAAGCCATCATTCAGAAGATACAAGAGTTTAATAAAAGTTGCCCTTTACAAAATACTTCGGATCCGCTGACCAAAAACTATCAGCGATAATCTAATAAAGAGAAAATGAACCAGTTTCCAGAAGACAAAGAAATCACGAAGAAGTGCTGGAAATCGATAGCAAACATATTGAAGAGAACGCCCAACTAACTGCATCACGAGATAGGACCTAACTTGGAATCCTCAAGGCTAAAGGAAATGAGGAAGACCAAGGTGTACATTAATACCGAAAAATGGAGACAGACATAAAAAGAATGAACAGCAATTGGATAAAACTAGAAAGGCCTAGAACACTGAGGGTAACAGGTGTAAGTTAACCGAGTTTGTTTTCTATTTAAAATCAAAAAATAACAAAGCATATTTTACTTACACCAAAATAAAATCCAAATTTTAACCATGGTGCTAAAACACGTACTAGTTGACCTTTCACAGGTCTGACTTCAGAATCATGAAATAAACAACCTGCACCTAAACCAGTACAATTTATAATGACATGAATATTTTCTTTCATAGCCCAATTGTATAATTCATTAGATGAAATAAATTTATCCACTTTTGTATGATAAATTAAATCATTGTTTTTATTCAAATTGATCAATTCATTCAGTAAATAATTCATATGATAACGTGGTTCTATAATACAAGTTGTATAATAATAAGCTGATTTAATATGATCAGCAAATCCAATAGAATGAATCTAGAACAAAAAAAAATAGAAAACGATATTTATTTTAATAAAACAAACTAATGTTTACCTCTTCTTCATCGAGAAATATTGTTTTAACACAATTTACTAATAAATGGAATATCAAATGTATAATTTTCTGATGAAAATACAGTTCTGCTGAAGAGATTTCATGCTATCTAGATTTTAGTCAAAGGATTAGTTACGCACGCACCTAAACATGTCATTTTGATATGCTTGAATGATTACCACGAGTTTGCCTTAGTCGGAAATGGAGAGCGAGGATCCGGCGACACGACATGCTATTTTAATCCGAGTGTCCCAACACCCGATAGAATAAAAGAAGCCGACTTGATATGAAGTATAACCTGTATTCTATAAACATCCAGAAAGTACGAGTTCCGAGTCCAGAAAAGAATCAGGATCCCGGACTAGGGATCATAGTCATAAAACGTTACAGATAATGCGTATTCGTACATTTAGGTAGAATAGGAGACAACATTGAAGTCCGTGACATTGACAGTTAAGTCGACCAATAGGAAACAACATTGCAGTACATGATATCGATATCTAGGACGATGATAAAATTGACCAGTAGGAATTAACCAATAGGAATTGACCAATAATATCCTAACAGGATTATATCTCCACACTGATGTCTGTTATTGGTTCGCTGGTTATTTTAGCGCTTAATTAACTGGTTTTATTTTATACAAAAAGGTCATGTCTGCTATTTATAAAATATTGTTCTTTTTCACCTTTGACGTGTTCAATAAAAGGCTTCTCTAACATTTCCAACCACTGAATATATATTTTAACATGTCAGATATCGTTGCTGATAGATTGTGTTACAGATGTCCAGTTTGTGACGTTCCTACGGACATAGTTTTATACTAGAAGAATATCTCAATCATTTGTAATTTTGAATTATTTTAGACTGATTGATGGTAAATGTTTAATTGCCAATGAAATACATTACGTCGAGTAATGGAGACAGACATGAGAAGAATGAACGAAAATTCGACAGAACAGAGAAGAAAGGCCCCAGGACAAAGCAGGTTGATGAATGCTGATTGATGGACGACTATGTTCCATTGAGGGTAACAGGTGTATGTATGTAAGTAAGTGCATAAGTAAGTAAGTAAGTAAGTAATTCGTATCATCATTATTCAATAAAACAAACTAATCTTTACCTCTTCTTCATCGAGAAATATTGTTTTACCACATAATTTACTAACAAATGGAATATCAAATGTATAATTTTCTGATAATTGATAAGTTGGATGAAAATAGACACCGGAATCGGCTGATCGCCAACTACTTGCCAATTTCCAATAATGTTCACGTCCAATATTACACCATTGAGTAAATGAAAAACTATTATTATAGAATTCATTTTGATCTTCATTTAATCCTGGTAATAATTTTGGATCTGGTCTAAAGATACCAGCAGCTCCGTAACTTGTAACATTTACACCCTTTTTATCAGATTGTATAATAATTTCTACATTGGGATAATGTTCTTTAATTGCTAATGCTGTAGAAAGACCAACAATTCCTGAACCGATCACACCGACTTTCATGTTTGTATTAATTCTATACGATATGATTTAATCCATATTGACCATAATTAAGCCGAATAGCCATTAGTCAGTGAATGGATTAATTGTGACCTTCAAATCTGAAACCTGATTGGCTGCTTGAGGGCAAACAGAAAAAAAACAGTATTGTATTGATTTAAGGACAAATCACATTTACTGGATACAATACGATACGATACAATGACATATAGATTACGAAACGTTATCAATGAGATAAAAATATTATACAGATATTGGTAGATGGATTTATTTTAGGAAGTATTAAGAATGTCATAATTCTTAAGATGATAGCACATGTTCACATCTAGAAATGTCTCCGTCACGTTTTCTCATCTATTTTTACATGACAGAGTCATAGAGATTGTTGTTTAATACTGAAATAATGAATCAGTCATTGTTAGACCACCATAAGAAAGAAACGTGGAGGCACTGGATAGCCATTTCGTTATGGTATGGAACTCATCAGCAGTGAGCATACACGACTCATAAGACTTACAGGAGTCGAACCCAGAGCCTCAGGTCTTGCGCGCGAACGCTTAACTTTTTCACTACTAGAACAGGCAAAATCAAACCGTATTAATTTCCAACTGCGATCAATCTAGTCATTTTGATCCACCTCACCCATTGTCTTCTTCGGTAATTACTGCATACACCCAATAGAGTTGAACTCCACCGGTCACATCTTTTGACTAGAACTCCACAAATCTCCTGACGAAGCTAGTCACTAGTGTGTACATTAGTTTCAATACTTTATGGTTTTCACCTGGTTATTAGTCAATCAGTCAGTCAGATGCAACGCAGAACTTCGTACGAAAAAAAAAAAAAAAAAAAAAAAATACCACCTCAGCACAGAGATGGAATTGTCTATTCAAATCCAATAGTAGAAGAGGTAGTAAAGGTATTAGAAGTAATCGGAGAGGTTAGGATTAGAAGATATTATTCAAGAAGTATGATTCAGTGAGAAAAGTTTAGAAAGTCAAAACTAGAGGGGTCGAAGAATCCAGAAGATTAGGATTTGAGAGAACACATACAATGGATGCACCTGCACCATTGCAAACGGTTTCGAGCCATGTCATTCAAGGTCTCTAACCATCGATTATTATCATCTCGCGGACCCCAACCAGGTAGTCGACAATTACCAACATGGCTCAGTCCACTCGTCAATGATTTCATGGATTTGTGCCATGTTTTGGTTTGGCCGCCCCTAACTTTCTTCCAACCTATTCCTACACTACAAAACAAAGCTTGACGAGGCAGTCGGTGGTTGGGCATACGCAACACATGTCCTAACCACCTCAACTGATGAAGTTTCAATGCTTCATCTATTAACCTACCATCCTCTCCTAGCACCCGTTTCCTAATAACAGTGTTGCTTACTTGGTCGTCCTCTCAGGATACACGAGCAATGCTTCGGAGACGGATATGATCGAAAACTAATAACCTACGAATATCTTCTACTCTCACTGGCCATGTTTCACAGCCATAAAATAAGACGGAGTGACCAGTGCTGCACAGTACACTTGTCTTTTAGTCAGCAAACGGATATCTCGCCTATGCCATAAGTGACGCAGGTTGTTAAACTCCAGTCGAGCCTTCTGTATCCGAGCTGAGATTTCGTCAGTCACCAGGCCATCGGCACTGATGAGACTCCCAAGATAAGTGAAGCGCTCTACACGTTCGACTACTTCACTCCCTATCACTAGTTCAGGTGCCGATCCTGGTTATTAGTGGACATTATGATATTAAGATAGTAGGATACAGAGAATTTATATCATTGTGAGATTTTCTTTTAAAATCATAGGTCATTCGATAATAACCTAATGACATCATCTTCGACACAGATAATTGTTAACTACAAAAACCTTACTAATATTTTCACATTCTTTGAACGTGTTAATAATTGTTTTTCACTCAGTAACTTAATGAATAAAGCATTCAGGTCTGAAGTAAAGTCTACTCGAATCAAATTTCAGCATGAGTATCATCATTGAAATCCAGGTAAACTCATCATGTATGATACCAATTCATCATATTTAGTAATTATCATAAACTGATATCGGAGAAAATAATCATTAAAATTCACAGAAGCTATAATCAGTTGTTTCGTTCATGTTTCAGAGTCTTCATCAATGAATACGTACTAATTTATACATTACTAAACCTAGTATATTCATCTATCCCAGCTAAAACAATATTTTATATTGACTAAAACTTCAAACGAAAATACTATTCTGCTAAGAGATTTCATGCTATCTAGATTTTAGTAAATAAATATTGGTTCTCTAGTCAAAGGATTTGTTACGCACGCTCATAAACACGTCAGCTTGATATGCTTGAACTATTACGAATTTACCTTAGTCGGAAAACGAAAGAGAGAGGATCGAGGATCCGGCGACATGACATGCTACTCAAATCCGACTGTCCCAACCCCATAAATAAAAGAAGAATACTTGATATGAAATAGAACCTGTATTCTACAAGCATCCAGAAAGTACGAGGTCCGAGTCCAGAAGAGAATCAGGATCCCGGACTAGGATCCGGGTGCGAGTCATAAAACGTTACGGATAATGCGTTAGGTAAAATAGGAGCCTACACTGAAGTCTGTGACATTGACAGTTAGGACGACCAATAGGAAACAACATTGCAGTACATGATATCGATATCTAGGACGATGATAAAATTGACCAGTAGGAATTAACCAATAGGAATTGACCAATAATATCCTAACAGGATTATATCTCCACACTGATGTCTGTTATTGGTTCGCTGGTTATTTTAGCGCTTAATTAACTGGTTTTATTTTATACAAAAAGGTCATGTCTGCTATTTATAAAATATTGTTCTTTTTCACCTTTGACGTGTTCAATAAAAGGCTTCTCTAACATTTCCAACCACTGAATATATATTTTAACATGTCAGATATCGTTGCTGATAGATTGTGTTACAGATGTCCAGTTTGTGACGTTCCTACGGACATAGTTTTATACTAGAAGAATATCTCAATCATTTGTAATTTTGAATTATTTTAGACTGATTGATGGTAAATGTTTAATTGCCAATGAAATACATTACGTCGAGTAATGGAGACAGACATGAGAAGAATGAACAAAAATTGGACAGAACAGGAAAGAAAGGCCCCAGAACAGAGTAGGTTGAAGAATGCTGGTTGATGGACGACTATGCTCCGTTGAGGGTAACAGGTGTAGGTAAGTAAGTAAGTGCATAAGTGCATAAGTAAGTAAGCAAGTAAGTAAATAAATGGAAAAGTAAGTAAGTAAGTGCATAAGTAAGTAAGTAAGTAAGTAAGTAAGTAATTGCCTAACTCCACCTAGAGTCACTCTAGGGTTACCGCCGGTCCCAAGGCTGGATACAGGAGAACGGCTGGGCGTGCAGTTAGTTACCCTATCCCAT